ATTTAAAAAATATATTTTAAATACATTTAAAAAATAATATATTTTAAGTATATTTAAAAAAATATTTTTAAATATATTTAGAATATGTATGTATTTTTGAATGCAAATAACTGTTTATATACCTATAAAAGTGTATTTTTATAAATTTAAAAAATTGAATTTCTGTTTCTTGACAAAATTGCACGCGGAATATGAAAATCAAATAAATGATCCGTCCATTAAGTCCTAATGACTGACGACTCGCGCTGTGTAAATGCAACATCGGCGGATGCTCGACGGAATAAAACATGCGACGTAGGCAGGTGATAATACGAGATCGAGCCGGCGACTCAGCGATCCACTAACCGAGCTATTCTCCCGGACTGGTTGTGTGACGGTGCTCACGTGCAATCGTTACCGCATTTCACGTCATCGTCTCGTTTTCGAGAGTCGGTGGTGGAGTACGCGTACGAGAGTACGTAGCTGCACCCTCACGTCACATTACATAGGAGGAAGTTTTCCCATGGATCTCCGTATCCGTGCGCTGTTTCATGAATAAAATTTCTCCGGTTTCACATCCTTGTGTTATGTAAAAATTGGAGCAAAAGTAACGCGCGCGCGCGCGCGCGGCGCTGCGCGCAAAACGTCGTCGCGACGTCACAGCGCGCGCGAGGTCGCGGCATCGTTTTGCAAATGCAATGTTGCACACGTGTGTGCGTGTGTGTGTGTGTGTGTGTGTAGAAGAGGTGATGTGTGACGCGGGCGTCACCTTAGGCGAGGAGGTATTCTTCGCGAAAATTGAGCTGGCAGGGATATATTGAGATGGAATACGTAAGCCTGCACATAGCGGGATATATATATATATATATTTATATGTATATAGTATATACAATGCTCTCGCGATATTGCAATTCCTGATTTGAATAAATAAATATGTAATATAGATGAGAGGACGCGCGCGCGCAACGCGCTTAGCGAAAAGAGTACATACCTACATTGTAATTACATATGACTTACAAAACGCGTGCGACATTGTGTAATACATGAATGAGAAGAAGCGGCATTTAAATAAAGAAAGCGCAGAGATGAAATAAAAAAATTATTCACGTGTATAAAACTTTATGTAACTTGCAATTTTTTAAATAAAATAGAAGAGAGATATATAGACAAATAGATAAGACGAGGTTTTATTTGTTAAAGCGCTCTTGAAAAATCATCTCAAGCGCAACGTAAACGAAATAACATTAGATCATAATAAAAATAATAAACAAAACACAACAAAAATAATAACCAAATGAACAAAAATATGAAAAATGAATACATACATATATATATATATATACATAAGTATCACTGAGAAAATGAGAGAAAGAGAGTTTTTCAAAGAAAATACTTATAAAACATTGTGTATATGCGTTTAAACATCGTACGTATCAAAGAGAAAGATAGCAAAAATTACATATTGTAAACTTGTCCTTAGTGTCAGGAGGAGAAAGGAAACGTTACGTTTCACGAGCACGAATATTGTTGTCAATGTTATATCGCGGTATTTTCTCAAACGAATAGTTTGATGTATTGAAATGCCACGCGCACGCACGTGGCGTATATACAAGTGTTGATCGCCACACGAACGCAATATTCATAATCGATCGTTATGTAATAAATAATCATGGTTTATTCACGCGTGATGAATAACAGTTTCTACAATAAATTCACGCGCGAGAGAAGTCGTAACTTTTCCGCTTTAATCGAAGAAATGTTGTAAAATCGCGCGACGAGAGAGAGAGAGAGAGAGAGATATGTATAATCCCGTAAGAATATTCCGACAAAGTGATTTTAATGTCGAGTAAGTAATCCTTCCATATCGCTCCTTCCTATTCACAAGCGAAGTAAATCACGGGCACCTCCATTTCGATTCGATTCACGGGCATATCGGATCCGCCGGCCGCGCCGAGAAAGTCGCTTTATCACACCGAGAAGCGTATTTCTGCGAATACATGTATGTATATATATAGATATATATATATATAAAACCTACCCACGCGCCGCGATGCGAGCCAATCGATACTCTATCGATCCGTGAAAATCGCTCAATAATTCAGAACCGGGCGTGGGACTGGATTCCGACGTGCGATTCCGGGCCGTGCAAAAGCGTTAAAAATCGAGATCGCGAGGCGCGATTGCCGCTCTCCCCCTCTCTATTCCCTCACCGAGCACCACAGAAATATCGCGTTCGAGAGCGGGACAACGGGGTTAATAATTGCACGGTGGTATTCAGCAAAATTACGAGCCGTGCCGATAGGATCGGTCGATCACGGATAATCGGGGCGATAATTGCGGATCCGGATTTTCTCTCCTCTCCGATAAACGAAACTCGTCGAACCGATTGTCGTCGGGTGTGACAGAAAAAAAAAAAGATAATGTTGCATTACCGATCGGGTATAATTGCGCGATTAATCGACTAATATAATAATTTAATTAATAAAACAAAAAAACAAAACAAAAAAACAAAATACTCGCACGAATTCGTCATCCGCGCGCGCACACGGCAGCCTCTTGTGTGTCACGGCTCGTTCGAGGGTGAGATCGAAAATAACCAACTCGAACCGTCAACGTTCGAGTTTATATATTCGAAACCGGTCAGGGGGCTGTTCCCGCACAGCGAAGAAAGAATGTATAGACGACTTTCGCGATATAGACCGACCGAGTTTTGCGGCCGCCAAATATAATGTAATTGCTTTCACCGCGCGAGCCGAAAAGCCTCGTGTAACAAGTGTGCGGAACGTCGCGCGCGCGAAACTAATTATATGTAAAATATGCTAATTGCAAAATTATATCGATTATAATTCGCGTTACGTTTCTGTTCTCGAGTTGCATTTCAACATGTGTTTCCAGGCCGCGCAATCGCCGTGACGTTTAGATCGAGATTACGTACACTACGTATCGAGAGTTATGAAAAGTTCACATTGCAAAAAAAAAGGAAAAAAAAAGAAAGTATCTACGAGGAAAGCGTGCGTTAAAAAAATACGCGCGCACGAGATAATCTTTGAAGGAATCTAATGGATGGGATCGCGCTTCTCAATTACGTTTCGAACGTAAACAGTTTGTGGCGTACTCGATGCTCACAATCGCGCAAACGCAATAAGTTTCACGTTCCCGTAATATATTCTTTCAACTGCGTATTTTCACATTTTATATAACAGCTAATTACATACGCGCAAGCGGTATCACGTACACGTAGCGCGTATAATATTTACATTTTTTTACGGCACAACGAGTAACGCGCAAAAATATCGTTTAACTGACTGTGTTTAGGCAATAGCCGATCTCGCAAATGCGAATTTTCGCAATAATTCCGAAATCGTCTCGGATCGTCAGACGAATCGAGAGACGAACAATAACGGCGATCGTATAATTCAAATCGCTCACGACAACGACGTCGGACAGACAAGACCGTCTTAGGGTTCTCTCGGCGATCTTGTTTCTTTAGCTTTCAGCATAATGCACCGTAGCAGTTGGAATTAGTAGGTTGAGGTAATAAGTAACGAGCGACGGCGGCGGCGGCGGCGGCGGCGGCAGCAGCGCGGCGGCAGGCAATCTATTTAGAAAAGAATTCAGGTCTCTTAAGGCCATTCAACGACCCGTAATTCCAACTCTTTAGAACGTTTCAGCATTTGCGCCAAACGTGAAACTCCTTTTTTCGATGCGGAGAACGCCTCGTTTCTAACGCGCGTAACGAGCGGGCCACAGGACCCCGCGCTATTCTTGGATCTCCGTCTCTTTTTTTTTTCTTTTTTTTTTTTTTTTTCAGTAACGAAAAAAACTTTTCGCGGTGTAACAGCCGCGAGTGTAAACTTCGGAGTTGCCCGTGATTTTTATTCGAACGCACCGCGGGTCGCCGCTTCCTCATGAATAATAATAACTTTCGGTGATTCGCGTCGCGAGCTTCCTTTCCTCCCTCCTATTATCCTTCCACCGCAAAAAAAAAAAACATTCTGCATTCAAACGTAAAAATAAAAATAAATGTAAAAATAAAAAGATCAAAAAGCTCGGCGGCGTATCTTTGAATAAAGTGAGCGCTGTTGAAACAGCCGGCATATATATTAGCCACGGCGCCACTGATTACGAAGATTCCCCATCGTGATCGCGGCGTCATTTTCGCCAATCGTGACTCTCCCGTTAAAATTGCTTAATCAGATCTTCTCTCGAACGCGTTGCGTCAAAATAATAATAGCTCTTAAGTTGTTTCCTTACATCAAAATGTAATTATCGTGAAACATTTGTAATCATGTATCTTTTAAAATCATCTGTTTATCATTATATATATAAAAACAAATATTATCTCTGCTCTCTTGATTATTCTCAACATTGCGGACCACTATCGAGAACGGTCTTGGAAACTTCGTTGATGAAACATCTGTTTTAATTATCTAAAGTTTTCATTATCCACATCCCATTAACCCTTCAATCGCAGAACGACGAGATGAGGGACCGATGAAACACAATTAGTCAAAGTGATGACTATTCCGCGCCGCCGTTGCGCTGCTGCACCTGCGCCGTCTATCGTGACCGGGAAAGACTCCGTCTTACGTATAGTGTGCGCGCGAGCCGTGTGCACCGAGCTCGTACATGTCCGTGCACCACGCCTGCACGAGAAAGAGAGACCGTATCGTAAGTGACGAGGCAACCCGGGTGGTGCTCGGTTGCACTTGGTGCGGCTCGTCGCGTAGAAGTCGAGCGTATAGACCGCGGGGGAGGGGGGAGGAGTAGGAGGAGGCTGCGGCCATTAGACGTGGACATAGACCGATACACAACCTACAACTACGCGGGGCAACCTCCATCTTACCGGGTAAAGGGGGGACTCCCCTTCGCCCTCGCGTAAACCGGGTGGTGGGACCCATGAGCTGGTCGGGCTCACGGCGACCAACCGCTCGGTCTACGGGCCATGGATTATAGTTTTTCTGGGGGGAGAGGGTGGTGGAGCGCCTTGCTTGCTTTCGAAAGGATGGTGATTGTGGAGCGTGTCCAGAGTAGAGTTAGGCGTATATAAGGCCCACCGGCCCGGCCCAAGTCAGTCATTCACCGGACTACCAGCCCAATACACACACCTAACATGAAGGCCTTTGTGAGTATTTTCATCAACGGGGTTGGTGAGGTGTTTTCGCGAGGTGTTTAACTCAGTAGTACCCGGTAGTCAATCTCTCTCACGCGATTCTGATCTCTTTCGCGCCCTTCGGACTTTAGATTTTTTGCCGCTATTCTCTTTTTTTTTCTCTCTCTCTCTCTCTTTCACAATTTTTTTTTAATTCGCTTGAAAATCAATGTGCTTCTTCGAACGAAAATCATTGTCGCTTGTTCGGATATATATATACACATATATATACAAACGTATACGCACTTGTCTTCATTCGCCGCCGTGAATAAACAGTGTAAGCTTTCTCTGAAACTTTATAAACGATCTTTAAATTGCTTTGAGTACTTAACGATATTACTCGTAAAATTTTCCTCCCCGTCGTCTCGCCGCTGGCGAAGTTTATCTCTGTAAACGCTCATCTCGTGAACGTTTCCTTCTGACGCTTCTTAATTGAAACCAAACAAGAAACAGAGTTACTACGGGGATTGCACTTAAGAGCATCTAAGAGTAAACGATGATCTTACAAGCTCGAGAGAGAAGGAAGGGAGGGGGAAAAAGGGGGAGAGCTTTTATTCCGCGTTGATAATGCACATCTGTTAAACAATTTATTGTGCACCGTTACGTTTGCCGTTCGCTTCTTGTTGCGCGACACGCACAATGCGCGACGATGATTCAATGTCACGGTTGGGATACTCTCGCTGTTTTTCCCAACACACAGGCGGCCTCAGACAGACGCACAAACAAGACGAACTGACGACTTCCATTCATAAAGAGCAAAGAAATCTCACTGGCGCGGCCCAACCGCGCTCTCAAGCCGCAAACCGGTTGGATTGGCATATAGTAGCATCATCATCATCATTAACAACGACCGGTTTCTATTCCACGACGCATCTTCATTCACGGTCTCGCGATCGATCGCGTGCGCTTCGCGTCATCGCGATTAATTCTCTTTACCGTTGCCATTCTCTTAAACTTTCCCCGTCAATTCGCGTCGCTTCGCAAGCTTCGTCGCTTCGCGAGCACCGTTATATTCCGCTTCACACGCGAAATATATTTCGATTCGACCTTGCCGCGCCGATAATCGTAAGAATTTTTCCGACATCTCGCTTCGCGATTTCCGACCGGATATAATAATAATCTCGCAACGTTCTTCGCGCAAAGTTCTGCCTACGAGCGAAGTGCGCTACTCACTCTCGCGTAGTTTCGATTTTGAAATCGGCCAACGATCAATCCTTTTCCGATCGCGAGGTCGCGGGAACGCTCGGTCGGCCACGTCACACGAGTTGCTTCGTTCCGCGTAAACGGGATGTGAAAGTTTCGCGAAGTCGTTAGATATGCATAATTCCAGGCCGCGGCGGTGCCATTTAAGTTCGCCGGGCGTGACACATGCGCGCGCGCGCGCGTACTCCGTCTAACACTCGCGATCGCGAAATATCGGTTACGTACATAGAGTCGATATATCTACTAATCAGCCGGCTCGCTTTCCACGGGTCTACGGCCGCGCGGCATGAAACACACTTCCTTTCTAAAACGCCACTTCCCGTATTACGAGTCACGCGGGCATTACGGCTTCGCACGTAAAGGTATCTCTCTCGCGAGACGTGACGTAACCATGCCGATTTTATTTTTGTCCGTTTTCGAATCGCATTTGCATTTCGTTTGAAAATTTCTCGGAATTCGCGAAATCGGGAGCGATCGAAGAATCGTATAATAGATCTCTTAATTAATCTTTAAGAAAAAACTCGATCTCGAATCATCACGCGCGCGCGCGCAAAAAAAAAACGCCCTGTTACCGATTAATTATGAATCTCGTGCAATATCGCGCAATACTCGCACCGGTCGGTGCGATTCGGGTTAAACTCGTTCGCGCGCGGATTTTATGCAATCGCGACAACTAGTTTTTCTACGGTTCGACGTGCGTTGCGCCGCGGCCTATTAGCGGGTATAAACCTGGAAGAGTTTCTTTTCCTAATACGGTCATTAGGCGTGGTGACCGGGAAAATTGACGGAAAGGAGAGGGAGAAAATTGTGGCGCTTATCGAGTTGATTGCGAAAAAACGGCGAATAGTTACTCGGTATATACTTCATCTCGTCGGTTTTTTTTTCTGTCGACTTTCCTTTTTGCGCTTTAGTCGCTGTAATCGCGCGCCACCCACTCACGGGCAATGCGGACCGCGCGATGAGATTTCGCGATCATCTCTCTCTCGTGAATCTAGAAATCACCGTTTCTCTCTCACGCGAAATCATTTCCGTCGTTATGAAGTTCGCGATCGCCGACATTCGCGGAAATCGAAAGTGAAAGCCGCGATTATGTTGCCGCGGACGTCGTCGCCGGTAGTTGAGTCCCGGTAATCGGCGCCAAGCCAATGGAAATCTAGATCCGTAATAGCGATAGGCCTCTCGACAACGCTTCCGTAAACTGACGCGCTCGATTCGGACGCGATTTCTCGGTCGAATCAGGCCGTTGTAATAATCGTTCGCGAATAATCTGACCACTTCTCCCGTTTCTTTTAGATTGTGTTCGCCTGCTTAGCGGTAGCGACGGCCCGCGCCGGAATCGCTCACGGTGGATATGGTGGATATGGTGGATATGGTGGCGCCGGTCTGGCCATTACCGGACACTCGGCTCGTGGTGGAGCTGGTCTGACCGGTGGTCTTGCCGCTGGTGCTGGAACCGCTGCCTCCCTCCAGGGTGGTGCCTCCAGCTTGGGATCTGGTGGTCTGGGTGCCAGCTATGCTGCTGGTGCGGCGGCGGCGGCTGGCGCTGCTGGAGTTCAGCAGATTGTCTCTGGTGGTGCGTAGCTCCGTTTTACGAAATTTACTCTCCTATCACTACATCGGCTCGCTACGATATTCAATCGCTCGCTCTTCCCGCAGGAGTAATTGGTGGCAGGTCCGACATCGGACCCGCTGAGGGACCCAAGGCCAACGTTGGACCCCAGACCGGCCCATCTGACCTCGTAGGACCCCAGGAGGGCGCCAAGTCCGTTGGTGGACCTCGTACTGGACCGTCCAGCCTTGTAGGACCGGCTGCTGGCCCATCCACCCTTGTAGGACCCTCTCAGGGAACCGCCACCCTTGTTGGACCGTCCCAGGCTACCGCTAACCTCGTTGGACCCAGCTATGGTGGTGTTGCCTTCTACGCCGGATCTGGTGGCATCAACGGTGATGACGGAAGCTCTGGTGCTGCTGCCAACGCTGCGCCTGGTGGTGCCCTTGGAGGTGGTACGTTTTTTCCGCAATTAGATAAACGAGTGCTACAGCTGATATTTTCTTGTTCACTTACCAAACAGTTTGTGTGATTCCTCTATTGATACTTAATTTTTTGTTTTTCAAGGTGGACTCGCTCTTGGCGGTGCTGGTGCCATTGCTGTCATTGGTGGTGGTGCCGGATTGGGTGGTGCTCTCGGTGGCGGTGACGCCGGAGTTGCTGTGATCAACGGACCATCTGGCGCCATCCACGCCGGACTCGGCGCTCACGGAGCTGTCATCCCCGCGCCCATTGCCAAGTGGTAGACGTTTTAAGACCCCAGCGATCTCGGCTCGGCGACGGCGGCAAACCCACCACAGTCACTTACCGGTCTCGAACGATCCTCAAACGCGCTCAACGTCTTCTTCCCAAAGCTTTGTCCAGTCTGGGAGCATGGTCGGAGCGCGTCCGACGCTAGTGACATGATCGGTACAGATAACTCGGAACACACACGAAAAAAAAAAAAAACGGTTAGTTCGGTTGCATAAACGAACACCGCGGGCGCGAAAAACCGAGAGACGGATTACGCCGTCGGACCGGATCGTCAAAAGGAAACCGAGATTCGGTTGTACGTGATTCGCGGTTTCGTATCGTTTCTTCCTCGTACTTGACTCGCTACAACCGGGTCGCAAATTTAGTCAATTTCCGTTCATCGGGACCAACGGTAAAGGGAAAAATCGACCCGGGCCGCGCTCACCGGTCTCGGCTAAAACCACGAGGGGAAAAACCACCAGCGTCACCTCACGAGAACTTCCGCCCTCCGCGGCGAAATCAACGAACGTCACTTCTCGGACATTCAGCCGACATCTTAAAAAAACAAAAAAAAAAAAAGAAAACGCGCATTCCGAGCTGCACCGCGTGCAACAAAGAGCCATCCCGTGCACACACAAGCATTCACTCACACACGCATGCACCGCCATGGACCTAGCAAGTGGACGAGCTTTGGCACTTCGTCGTCAGATCAACCGGATCTGTTCTGTTTTCTGAACACCTACCGTTGCTCTGGCTAAAACTTTTTCTTCTCTTACGTCTTCCACCATCCGTAAGGCCGCCGCTCTTCACGCACATTATTTACTGTCTCTCTTTTTTTTTTTTTCACTCTCTCTACGGGTCGGTCGCGTGTGAAAGCGCGCACCGCCACCCGCATGTTGTTATACTGCCGCACCCCCAAGCATACATAATTATTATTACATACTCGTCCCATTGCGCATATATGTTCTAATTATATATATATATGTATACATTATTATTACCTATTACTTCCGCGCATATATATATATATGAACACATTGCCACACGCGCGCACACATACACATACACCATATATATTGCTATATGTGTACTCGTATATATACACACAATTACACATATATTATATAATCGTGTTATATGTTAGTGAAAAGGAGAGACCGGTAGATTATGGTAGGTCAGCCTTTCTCGTGAATGAATGAATGTAAATAGATGGCGCGCCGCCGCCGGCCCCCGACCCCGCCCGCCCTCGTCATACCCTTTCTTTGCGATCACGACTAGCACCCCACCACCACCATAGATAGATACCACATATTTATAGCGTTTATACATTTATACAATACTTTATATAAAATAAAGCATCAGTATTTAAAACTCACTTTGTTATAATTTGTTCGAGCTCTCTCGCATTTTCGTCCCGCAATTGATACATGGAAAAACAAAGTGTTTTACCATTATATGTGGCTAGTCATCAAGAAAAATGAAGTTTTTGTTTTAAGAAGCGTTTCGTTGGCATAACAAAAAAAATGCCAACAGGCTCGGCAAATAATTAATTTCTAGCAAATCTTTTTTTTTTTCCGTGACAAGCGAAACAAGCACGAACAAGTACTCGCATTTCTTGCAAATTTACTTTTTAATATTTTAGATGTTCTTCTCAACATTTTTTCATGTGTTATTTTGTACAGCATCACAGAGTTATAGAGTTATGTAATTCGAACGCTTTGTTATGTTACACAAATTATTAGATTAGTCACAAACTTAACTTTGATGTTATATTATGCTTTGACATACGATAGTAATTAACGAGAAAGTAATTAATTCAATATTAGCTATAAAAGTTACAAAGGGAATCGAGCAATAATTTATCGACGTTTTCTATTAAAAATCAGATAATAATTCTGTTCGAGCATTAGAACATTTCTTTATTGCAGGGTAAAATCTGATCGAGCAATCGAAGAACTCTGTTCTTGGGTAAGAGAGAAATGTACCATTTTTGTTTTTACTGCGGACACACGTGTATACACAGGTGTATCACGACCCAAAGTGTGTGCGATTGGGAAACATCTCGTCGTGCTCTGCACAAACGGCGAAACGAAGTAACAATGTTTTTGTCGGATTTGTCGCAATTTCTCCGTTAAGCTTTTCTCTCATAAAAGAGATGTAAATCTTCTTCTATCCGAATATACGTTGAGTATAGCGAGCCACCGCTTTTACGTTTCTACCCCCGCAGTAAACCGCACAAATAAAATGAGACGCGAACGCGTATTAAAACCCCGGAAATCGAAACTCTTTGACGATTCGAGTATTCGGTGACGTATCAGAAAACATAAAACGCGTCGTATCCTTCTTTTTTCCCCGGGGGTATTTCAGTCCCGCTTCTTTTTTATTTCAATTTTCTCTATTGAAGGGAGAAAAAGAAACAACTGTGAATGCCCAACGATTTCATCGTTTCTCTTTTGCAACAAAGCACGTAAAGTCGATACTCGAATATATCGAAGTTCTCTCGATGTTAAGTGGCGCGCCACTTTTATCGCGATTCTTTAATCTACCCTTTTTTTGCGGTTTGCTTCGAGTGGCTTGAGCCACCGTTCGTTCGTTTGAATGTGTATTTTTTGATAGGTCGAGGTTACACATCGACACACATAAATGTGTTAAATTAATGACGCGCGCGTTGTTTGTCGCGTCCGGTAAAATAAAATGTGTCATCGTAACCCACACACGCTGTAATCCTCCGCGTTTACGTGGAAACGTATAAAGAAGAAAATACGAGCGCTGTATTAGCGTTGCGACGAGTCGTAAGTTGTTATGTGCATCATCATAAAAAAAAAAAAAAAGACGTATGATCGTTCTTTCGTAACGATCGCCGGGGAATAATTAGTAGAGATGGCGGCCTATCAGAGAAGCGTCGGGATATACGAAGAGGCGCGGTCCTTTCACTCGCGGGGGTGTGCGATTATATATCGCGCGCGTTTCCCAGAAGAACTTATTTGCTAATGATCACGAGGTTGCTGCGTTTTTTTTTTTGCGATCAAGGTTGTTCAGAAAAGATTCCGCTGAGTCGCAAAAGTGCTTTGATGCGTATAATAATTTTTCTCGAAAAATGACGAGAGAGACATTTTACGTTCGAGCGCGCGCATCATTGTGTTTCAAGAGCGTATACGAATTGTTTTTGAATATTAAGTCATTATTTACGAGCGATTCGCTCGTGATTATCTTCGTCTAGCGTAAGCGAAAATAAGAAAGAAATCGGGATTTCGAAAACATCTCTACATTTTCCATGATCTGACACAGACTGGCGGCAAATATAGGGCCGCATGCTCCCATAAACTTCGCGGATGCATTGCATCCGTGCTGCGCCACAGACAATGACTGCAAATGTCAGTCTCACCATTAGCATTGATCACGCTCAATCGCGCGGCTGTGCCTCGTAGCATACCTCTCTTTCGATCGTTTCGCATAGGTACGAATTTTCAGAACGCGATGCCACGAAGATAAAGTCGCAAACGGCTTTGTGTGAAACATTCATAGACACGAGACGCTTTACTATGCAACCGAAAGCAAAAAAAGATCGTGCTTAAAGGTCGAATTTCCGATTTTTCTCGTGAATATGCAATTTGCTTCTCGCTCAGCGCGCGTTCGCGAAGAAAGAGAGAGAGAGAGAGAGAGAAAAAAAAAGAGAAAAAGAAACGAAGTTTAGAAAAAAGATATATCTATCTATAATTTTAAATTTTTTTTATGTTGGATCTTTCGAGAAGCTTAGACAAAGTTACGCAAACGTTGATCCCAATATTGCGTAACATGTAACAAAAACAAAAGACATAGTTTTTAAATTTAGAATTTAGTTTTTATGTTTTATGTTTTTTAGTTTTATATTAAAAATATATAAAATATACAAAACCAAAATAGTAAAAACCTAAAAACAAAGTATAGAATAATATATATACAAAACAAAATATTTTTATATTTAGAATTTGGTTTATATTTCAATTTTGTAGTTTGTGTATTCAAAACATATAAACTTCAGTCGGCAAAAAAACACTCGAGAATGCAGAAGCTCTCACGGTGTGTATCGTGATTGTTACCTATCCCATTTACCCCAGAAACGTGGTATTCACGTGGAATTGGAGCGTTCGGGATCGCGCGCGCGCACGTCTTCCATCGCACCCGTTAAAGGTCGAGTGCGCGCGCGATGTCGGCTAAAGGCTTCATCGGTTATATATCGCATTGAAAAGCACATTAATTCCCCGAGAATGTGCGCGCGCGGCTCTTTCCCAGCCGCCGCCGCCGCCGTCGCGCGCGCTCCTCTCGACGCTTTCGCGTCGATTCACCTTGTGTGCGCGTCGCATAAATTGCAACCTAGAACTTCGTCATATTTAACCGAACCGGCGCGCTCTTGTCGCGCGTCGTCTCTCCTCAAAATTTTATTGTAATTTCAAATACTCTTACACAGAATATAATTATATATCGCAATAATTGGCGCAAGTAATACGCGCGGCGTATAATGCGAAATGTCGCTTGCAATTAATCTTGGAAGGTTGGAAGAGACACAATCCCCGAGATTACGTTTAACAATTTCGTTTGACACATTGTGTGACTTCGCGAAAACTTGATTAATCTCCCACTCCCGCCTGTTCGCCTGAATTTAACGATGAAACTTTGTTCATTGTTTCACGCGCAAGTGAAACCCGAATTCTAACGTCACATATAAAATTGTGTTGAACTTTGTTGAGAACGCGTCCCGCTGATACACACCGAAAACAATATATACGTGACGCCTCTGTGCGATCTCTGAATTCGCGCGCGTTGTCACACGAACGTCGTCTAGAAATTAGCTCGTATAATCGAATCTACTTGGTACTGCGAGATAATTACATATGTATGACATCAATTCTCTCTCTCTCTCTCTGTATCTCGTACAGCACGGAATATATACGTACGCGTCTAACATGTGTACGTCTTTCTCTCACTCTCTCTCCTATTTCTGCTGTATTTATGATAACAACATTCGGAGTAATATGTTATCTGCGCGCTTCTGTGTTTATTTTAAATTCGTCATGAGAGAAACGTAACGAGGATCGTGGACTTGCACGTCCACAATGCGCAATCTTTCGGGTTAAAAGACTCGATTGCCCTTCTCCCGAATGACTCAACCGAGCCGATTGACCTATTCTGTGCCACGCGGTCACGCAATTGAGAGATTTAAAATCCCAGGTAGCGGGTTCTCTTCAAAGGGTTTTATTACTCTCTGATGAAAATTACTAATTTTGTCTAATTGAGATCAGTTTCGCCGCGGGAGATGACGTAAGATCTGTATCTTTGTTCTCTGTTGAGCGCGATTACGCAACGGCCCGAATGTCACGTTAGAACGAGAGTAAATTAATGTGCGCGCGCACAATAATTATATTGTCAATATATAATTTACTTTGAACGAAACAATATGATGATTATTATTATCTATATATATTTTAATTTATAACGCGAGCGTATATAGTTTATAATAAAACATTGTAAAACTAAACACAAAATGTTTAAAATGTTATATATTACTTTAGATTTTCAATTGTTTATTATATTTGGAAGTTAAATGGAAATGTGTATAAACAAATGAGATACAACGACGCTCGTGGTAATTTATTTTGAATTGAAATAAACAAGTTCGACTTTTTTAAAAAATAACTTTTCCACGTGCGGGTAGGAGGGGGGGGGGTGCGAGCGATGCAAAGTTTCAAGCAATTTGTTTGTCCGAAAATAATGGACGATATCTGATGGCTTTCGAAATGCTAAACAACTTCCGCCTTTATTTACCCTACCGCGCAGAAATGGGAATCGGCGAACAGGACAGCGCGAACTTCGGGGACGCGAAAATATAACGTATATTATCTTTTATATATATATATATATATATAAAAACTCGGGAATCGGGTAAACTCATTTTAACTTTTTCCCAGGATGGGTTTCGTCCGTGGAAGTCGTTCGCGACGAGCAAGTCGACGCCGACGATTGGGTGTGTCAAACGCCGATCTTACACAATGCCCAAGATTCCTTCGCGAACGAGTAGGTTTGAAAGGATGGAGAACAGATCATTCACGTAACAATCGCGCTTATGCGCGACGAACGACCGGAATTACACAATAAACGTACGAGCGCGCTCGTCGTGATATTAAATTTTTGCATCCCGTGTTACGCGCTCGCGACTTTGCGCTCTGCGCGAAATGCGAAACACCGTTTGCCAGACAAAGAAGTAACTGTTGGTCTGAAAATGTTCCTCGTCGCGGTTAGTGAAGGTCAAAAGGGGGTTCGTGTCCAAAGGAGGGCGGGTGTGTCGGTGTAACCTTCTTACACAATGGACTTAGAGAGATCCGACATCGTCAACGGATATGATTTGAAGGGATCAACGGGGGCGCGGTCGGAGTTCCTAGGAGGCGTATATAAAGTCCGCCGAAGTCGACCGTAGGCACATTCGAGCAATCGCCGGTCGGCACGATGAAAACCCTCGTAAGTATTCGTCTCTCGACGGAAGTGCGCGCTCCTGCCTCTCTTTTATTCTTTTGTTATCCGGACAATCGGTTCGACGACGTGTTCGCGATTGGATCTCGTTTCTGTTCTCTCAGCTAGACGGCGAAGTGAAGTGTCGAAACGCGTTTACGAGCACGCACATTTGTGATTCCGCGCTCGTCCTCAGACGGAATAATTAAGCGAGTAGCGTACCTAACCGAGTTATTTTATTGCGAGAAAAAGTTTTCAATCGCTTCTTTGCTTCTGGGAAAAAAACACACGCGCGCTATATCGCACTTTCAAAACGAAAGTTTGAAAAAACCGGTTTTTTGTTTCTAAATCAAATTTCTAGTGTTTTTTTGTTTTTTTGTTTTTTTTTACGTAGGAAACACCCGACTCTCGTATTAGAATAAAATATCTAAGCCCGTTGCTTGGACTCACCTGAGATCTTTCGTCTCTAGTTTATCTCGTTCGCCCTGTGCGCCGTTGTTGCCGCAGCGCCTCGTGAGAAACGAGATGCTGTTTTGGCCGGTCACGGATATTACGGGGGTCACGGAGCTTACGGTGGCCACGGTGCTTACGGAGGCCACGGTGCTTACGGAGGCCACGGTGCTTACGGAGGTTACGGAGGTATAGGAGCTTACGGTGCGCATGGAGTATCGGTTGCCGGACCGTTGCTCGGAGCGACGAGCGTCGCCGGACCACATGTTGGCGCCACCGCCGTTTCCGGACCATCGATAGGTCCCGCTCGATTGGCCGGATCAGTGGCTGGTCCAGCTCACGTTTCGGGCGCCGTTGCCGGCCCGGCTGTCGTGACCGCGTCGGTCGCTGGCCCGGCCCACGTGGAGGGCTACGGCGGCGGCCCTTACGACGGCGCCTACGGTGCTGACGGTGCCTACGGAGGTGCCTACGGAGGCGCTTATGGTGGTGAGTGATAAGAAAATTGAGTTTGAGAATCTTCTATTTTGAAAGTAAACTATTTCTTTATAAAAAAGATTTTAAAAATACACAGTAGATAATTTTAATCATTTGTATATCCTTTTGTTTAAAATAACATTTTTCTCTGAAGTTTAAATAAATTAAAAAAAAAAAAAAAATACGGGAGCTACATATTTCACTGTTATTGTTGTTTGATGTAAAAGTAATTTATTGTTATAGGAGTAATTTTTTTGTTACATGTATTTTTAAAAACATATTTCTATATTTTTAACATTATATTTATTTTCATATGTTTGGAAAAATTGTCTCTTACACGGTCCGTTCAAAGAGAACGTTTCGAATCATTAACACAAACTCACCAAAAATCTTTCTCGTTTGCTCGACATTTTGTGTTTCATTGGCGCAGGCGGTGGTTACGGATACGCAGCTGGTCCTGCTTACGGCGGTTACGCAGGATACGCCGGCGGTCACGGCGGGCATGGAGTAGTTATAGCAGGACCGGCCAGCCACGGCGCGGTTCTCGCTGGACCTCATTCCGGAAGCGCGGCTGTTTCTGGACCGCACGCCGGTTCGGTGGTGATTGCGGGTCCTTCCGGAAAGATCACGGCTCACGGAAGCGGTTACGGCGCCGCCGTCCACGCCGGACTCGGCCACGGCCACGGCCATTGGTAAACGCGCGCGCACAATCGTCTGCGAAACACAAAAGGGAAAATCTCACTTCTCCGTTTGAGAACAAAAAGTGGAATATTATCCCTTTCAGCAGTTTTAACAGAGAAGTTAAAAAAAAAAAAAAAGTATTATAGAGATATTAAAATACATATATATAAAAAGTTGCTATGTAAAACACGACGATCGCTCGTCGCGCTTCGCACTCTCGATTCGCGGTGCGCGCATAGATAAGCGTCTTCTGTACGTGAATAGAAAAAAATTCGATTTTTTTCGAAACAGCGGAGGACGATGTACAAAATAGAAACGTAACGTTTTGTTTGCTTCATCGCATTAGCTTCGACGATTACTTCTCGCTTGTAAAAAAAAAAAAAATTTGCACGTGTATCTTGTGTGTAATAATTTTTTAAATCTATAATATTTATAAATTTGTTTTTTTTTTTTTCAACTAATATTGGAATACACAGAAGCTGTACAATTCCCCACTCTCATCCTGGACTTCACAGTTCGTTCTCTCGAAAGTTTGCCGACGCGCAGAGATCCCGTTGCAAAAGGGAGTTAATTTCGAGAGAACCAATTATCTCACGCGAATTGTGGCTACGCGCGACTAATCAAGTAACATTAACTCGGCTGTTATAGGTAAAATTATTCATGACGAAAACAACGATTGTTATGAGGGTAACGCGATACGAACGTACACACACACACACACATTCGAAGGCGAAGCGCCAGATTTTGAATAACTCAGTTTGCTGTACATGAGCAACCGTTTGCCGCTCAAATTACGTAGTGCCTTGCGAGCTGAATTTCGCGCACGAAACATGTATTTATAATGATGTTTAAAACGTTATTTTATATATAAAAAAAAAATATTCCGAATCTATCAATAGGATCTTACGTACATGAACTTCAATTCTCGCCACACCATTGTATTATTGTATTTTATTGCACTTTGTGATCTAATTTCACACATTATTATAATATACTCTAATTTCAATAAACACACTCGTAGTTTACATAAACTTCAACTCTCGCCAAACGTTTATATTGTTTGTATTGCACTCCGATCCGATCTCACGTTCTATATATTCTAATCTTAACAATAAACACATTCAACTTAATTTGCACAAAACTCACCTGAAATCTGCAAAGATCCCACTTTTGCTTTTTTCTTGTTGCGATTATTTTTTTTATTTCGCTTTAATTCGTACTTTCAGTCCACACGAATTATCATTCACTCTGGAATTCTTTATTTGCGATTTGTTTTTTCTGTCTCTCGAATGTGTCACACAACTGTGCTTCGCCGCTTCGACTTCGTGGCGTGAAATATTGATTGAAACGCGGGCGCGTCGTTGTGAAACGATTATTCGGGTTTTTATTACGAGCTAAAATGAACGGAGCGGAGTGTCTATCGCGATACCAAATTGATCACGTCAATCGTTGTCGGTGGCCGCGTTGCTCAATAATAGATCACTTTGTGGCGGTCGCGCGCTTGGTGCATGTCCATTAAAGCCGCGCTAAACGCAAGGAGCTGGCCGTAACCGGCCCGGATCCCGCAAACGCGCGCCTTGGTGCAATGATCGTATTGTGTAAAGGGTAAGGTCGTCACGAGCGTGACTCGCCGCGGACATGGTCCGCCGCTCCGTAAACCGTACGCGAAAAGTCATGGTCAGTGAGGATGGAGCGAATTGTCGTACGGCGATGTAAGCACTGAAATATTTCGCCAACATACTTGACGATGTTAGTTTGTTGAAATTAGCTGCTTAACGCGTCAGTTTCAATTAATTGGCGATATATACGTCAGTGTTTGTTGCAGCAACGAGTCAGAACGTGTTGCAACATCGTGGTCTCGCGTATCCAACGGATGCGCGATATTCCTTCTCCTTGTTTGCGACGTGGTACTTAAAAATGCGACGCGATCTATTTCTTTAAAGAATTTTTCGCGTACAGGCGATGCTCGATAACGAGATACGAGCAAAAAAAAAAAAAAAACCTCGTACATCCCGACATAAGGAGATATCCGACATAAATTCGAGCATCGGCGCATCTAGCGGACAATTTATATGGGATTTGCGCAAAGCCGAGTATAAAACGCGATTTACGATATCTATTATACGCGTATGTGCAATTTATATCTCGCGATTCACAATCACCGTTACACGCGGTCATGCGCGCGCGGATGACGTTTAATCTCGGATTTTACGCGTGTGTGTGTCTCTTCTTCCTTTGTGTGCTTCTCCCATCTTTTTTCCGCAAACAAATTGCTATCGGCGAAATGATACAGTCGACCGTGCATTTTATTCGCACGAGGGAAGAGCATCACGCGCCGTGAAGAGAAATATCGAGTGACGTTTAAAGCGCGCGGCCTTAGCCTTATGGGAAAATCGTGGCCCGAGAGCCCGCATCTCGGTCGAGATAGCGGCGGCGACGTAATCCCGCCGATGTTTCATCACCGCGGCGGCAGAACAGCGGTGGCTGCATTGTGAGAATGCACCGAACCTTCCACAAATTCCGAAAGGTCACCCCACTTTGTAATAGGCCGCGTGGTGCGCGGGAGCGAGCGAGACGCGGGTAAGAAACGAGTCGTGAAACAGACCGTGAAAGATGCGTCGAGGAAGAGAGAGAGAAATGACTGAGATGACATGAGTAGACGACATTATTTTCTCAATACGGAGACGCGTGCTTCGAAGCACAAACGCTAATTGCTGCGCCGTTCGACGACGGCGGGCGATAATCGATCGCGAATTAGCGGAGCTTTCGTAACGGGCGCGTATCTCGCAGAGGGTAAGTTGACGCGCGGAAACCGTGGGAAGATAGTGTTTCAATTTGCATTTGAGCTTCTCAAATTCGTTCGACGATATTATATACAGCGAGCGCGCGCAATCTCACATTCGAGGGATTATTTTGAAACGACATTTCAAAATTCGCGTGTGTGAAAATTATTTCGAAGTGCAAATCGCATAATTCTGCGTCTTTTGTAATTTAGGTGCGACAGTAGATTGTATTTCGGAAGAGATAATTCAGGAAGATTCATGAAAAAATTAATTTCAACGTTGAGAAAGCTTTGCGATTCACAAATCGTGGATTTGTTTGCTTCTACAAATTAATAATTTATCTTTTTTCAACTTTTTTTATAATCGCTCGTTTAAAATTCTCGTACAAACTCAGGACTATTGGGCCAATCTCAGACGTCTGGTATAATGCGCGCGAGAGAAGACGCGATAAATTTGAAGGGGTTCGTGCAGAAGAGGTTTTTCAAACTTAGCAACAACAGAATTCGTTTTTCTACTTAAATTCGTTTTTTTTATTATTTAACTAGAAGTTTATAAAATATATATCTTTCATATACTTATATATTTATCTTTTTGACGGTGTAATTTAACATTAAGGATAAACCAATAAAATGTTATAATTATAATTTTCATAATTTAAATTCTATAATTTATAATTTTCGTATGTTTTAATCTACATATTACTTAACTATTCTAAGCCTTATTATTTAAAAAAGTCAGAAATGCACATATATTAACAATATACACATTTAAAAGACGGAGAGAGATACAATAGTTGATTACGTCTACGTAACAATTAATGAGGTAGATTTGATGTAAAAAAAAAAAAAAAAGAACTCGAGAACTTGGTTTTATAACGTAGAAGGATTTGCCTTGCAAAAATTAAAAATACAGTGTACTTAGCGTACGACAAACAATATCGAGAAAATTTTCCACGATGAGAAGTTAAGTACTTCCGAGAGAATAAGCTCTTTTGCGTTATATTATTTTGTTAAAAAATTCTCTCGGAGAGACAGAGAGAATATATCATAAAAAAAATTATATCAATATTTGAAAAATATCTCGACGATTACATTTTCGCTGCGAAACATTGTTATCAGATCCAAATATACACATGCATTATAACGAAACAAATATAAAATGCATTGTTTTACAACACAATATTTTTATTACATTTCATTACGATGTTATGCGAAGAAAAATCCATTTCAAAAACTTTAATAAAAAATTGATTTAAAAAAATACTGTTTCGCTTACGCAAACTGAAGCGCATTATTTGCTATTAAAAAAAATCAAATCCGAAGAGTTGTTACGCGCGTCGAGTTTTGAAAAATTATCGAATAAGCGAACTAGTTCACGTCGCAATTTGCGCCGTAAGCTGAATGGGCCGTGTCGTGCGCGTCGTCGACTATACGGCTTCGACATCATTGTGTATCCGGGATTTCTGCGTGAGATGTATTTATAAGAGTCTGAAAACGACGAGGAGAGAGAGTTCTCCTCTCCCTCTTGCGTCTCTCCGTGTGTGCGAATTCGTCTTCGCGCCGTCATAAATCACGAAGTCTTGTCGCGGGGTCAGAGAGACTTACGACCGAGACCGATCGTCGTCCGGTTGCCGGACAGCCGGTGGCATTCCTAAAGAGATCGATCTGCGGGGAGACGTAAAGCAAGAAAGCCGGATTGTTTTCTCCCGGCGAACTCATTCTCCTTCTTCTCCGCTGCCATTCTTCCGCGCGTATTCCGACGACTACGCGAAAACCGGCGCAAAGGCGTGGCCGATCAAATGGGGGACCGATGTGAGGTGTGCAAAAAAAAAAAAAAAACAGAAAAAAAACAATTTTGCCGAAGAGCCCATCTTGGAGATCGCGCAAGGTCGATCGACAGATCCTTCAACGGCCATGAGAGAACGCAGATCCGCGAACGACGGAAACGCTTCCTTTTCGAGAATGCCTACGGAAATTAAAACAAATTTGTTATTTCTTTTTCAAGTGAAGTCAAATTTTGTGTATTACCGCGCTAAGTTGTTACAATTGCTGTGAAAATCGATTTTTTTTAATTTGCGATTGATAAAACATACAAATAATTTCAAATGAACTCATTCATGTAACAAAAAGTCGTCTCGTTAACGATTGCGCGCGCTATTTTGTCGCACGTTTTGTCCGTTCGCGCAAAGAGTCGCAATCGCGCGCGCGATTGTAATAAAGCGTCGTTGTGACAAAGTAGACTTCTTTCAGTTAAACGCAAATTAAACCAAGTAACAAGATTTTCTGAAACCAAATTGTGTTTCACGCCGCTGTGGCGCGCGTTTTCCGATAATGGGTATTGCTACTTTCAAGTACCCTTTACTAATTATTAACATTCAATCCGCTTCGTTGTCAAACTTTTTGAAATTAAATTGCAATTTTTTTTTTTTTTTTTTTTTTATCCGAGTAAGTTTGTTAAAGTTTATAAAATCAATTTTCTTCTCCCCTTCCTCTCCTCGTCTTTTCCTCGTTATTTGAATCTTGTTCTCACTCGCATATGCGCGCGTTTTGATCCGCGGCAAAACAAAACCGAATCAGAGATATTTTTCCAGGGCGAGATTTTATGGAGAGACGCGGAAGCGCTTTAAACCGCGCGCGGATATGCGTTCACACCGGACTATCTCTCTTCGTAAACTTGCGTACTATCGGCGCGCTAAACTACTTGAGCAGTTTGTATTCTTCATGTAAATACGACTTACCTGAATTGTGAACACTTCAACGACGGGACTATTGTGGAAAGTCTTCTCGGCGAGGGATCTCGAGAGACCCGCGTTTGAGCCATCGAAGCGCAAAGAGAGGATCTGGATCGATCCCGTGAATTCATCGAATTCTCTCTCTCTCTCTCTCTCTCTCTCTCCCTCCTTTACAGAATCCGCCTAACCGTCGACGACGGAGGAGGTCGCTTCGATTCGGAGCGGCGAGTTTCCGTCAGCCATCGCGGCGAAACATTGCCGTGCAAGCTGATGCTAAGTGAGCTTTTATAGTCGCGATACGCGTAGCGGACACACGTGGGATGGCGAACTTGCGTCGGGATCGGCAGGGCGGGGCAGGCACCTCGCTGAACCCGTGTGACAAGATTGAAAAAAAAAAAAAAAAAATAAGAACAAAAATGCTCAATCAATCGTAATCGAAGACACACACGCGACAACGCAGGGAACGGGGAGGGAATTGGAAAACACACCAACCGCGCCCAGGCGCGAGTGCGAGAGGAGGAGGGAGGGAGGGTGAACGATCCGATATAGGAGTTCGATTTTATCACCTTCGCGACGCGTTGTTATTTTATTGGCGATTCGATATGGCAATTGTGTTACGTGACAATACGCGCGTGCCCGTACATAAAGCGACGGAAAGGGGGGGATCTTTGCGAATGGCGCTGTAAATCAGCGTAATAAACTAAGCGGGTATTTAATGTCACGCGAAGAGGGAAAAAAAGGCGAAGGTGCAGATGAATCGATAAAAAAAAAAAAAAAAGAGTAAAATTGTCGGTTGTATGCAACGTGTGTCGCTAATATATCGCGTAAAAATAACGAGGAGAAAGTCTGCGATCGGATCATCGAGGGGGGAAGGGGGGAGGAAAGGGAGGCTATTTTCTCGAGAAAAGAATGACGCGCGGGATTAATAAAAACGAGGGTTTATATCGCGGATGACAGACGAATAATTCGATCGAGCGATCGATCAATCTACACACACGTTGAGTCAGAATCCCTTCGTTGTACAACATTTTTGCAACGAAAAACGTTATAGCATTCCGCAATACTTGAAGCAGAACTCACTTGACAGCGCGCCGGTGATTGATGATGTACAAAGCTAAATTTACAGCGATCACTCTTTGACGAAAAATGTGTAACATTGTAGCCGACACGGCGGAAACCATCGGCCGTGACTAGTAATGGATTAATGCGCGCGCGCGCGATGCGCCGCACTCGTAAGCAACTTTGATAATCCGTTTTATGTCAGGTTTCAAGCTTTGTAATTGTAAACGCTAGTTTACAATGCGCGCGCAAATATGTGTGTGCGTGCGTGTGTGTGTGCGTGTGTGCGCGCGCGCGCGCGAGCCAAAAATCAAGTCGGGATGTGCTTTGATAACGGAAATGGAGACGTGTATCAATAGCATGCGTCGCTGCGGGCGACGATAATGTTGTTGTGTTAATGATCGTCATACGAACAATTTCGCGTATTATACAAAAGTAATGATCACGCCGATTATGTGGCGCTCGAGTATTATTGAATTACAAAGTGCGATTTGTAAATTCGATATAACGAAGATGTTTTCACGCGCACACCAAAACCAATATCTTTATACGCGCGCACACGGTAAAAAAATCAAAAAATTAACATATCTCTCTGCAGAGACGCATTGTCGTTTGTAATTGAATCGAATCTATTAATTGCTTGTCGGGGGGAAAAAAAAAAATCATCGCGCGCAGTTCCACCATCGGAGATTTCTTATGCGGAAAGAACTTCGCATAACCGGGAAAGTTTGAGAATCGCTGATCCACAATCGACAACAGAGAATCGCGCGCGATGCACGTTCCCGTTTGTGGAAAATATATACGACAGAGGAGAAAGAAATGTTCCAGTTGTTGATGCACTTGTTGTTTTTTTTTTCGCACGTTATATCGAGGATGCAATTTTCTTTAGAATTCGTCGAATGTGGGGTGTGGGAATGTGTCGTTGGAAAAAGCGACGAAAAAGTTTTCCGCCCAGCGCTCTCAATCAACAATCACCTTTACGATCGAAGCTGAGCATGACGCCCGATAATGGGCACCGCAAACGATTCCTGGGCACGGAGTCCGCGATCCGTTGCGAGAACTCGGGTGATACTGTCGCTCGCGTATACACACACACACACACACACACATACAAACGCGCGCGCGCACCCGTATATCCGCGCGACAACAATAGGGACCCTCATTCCTGGTGACAATCTGCAAAGTCCGGATGACGCGTAGGCAATGCAGGCCTCGCCTAGACGAATGCACAATGCGAAGCAATGCAATCGTTCTAATGGCGACGGGAACACGTTGCGCGCTACCTACCTACCTACGAAAGAGAGAAAGCGGGAAGAAGACGCGGTACGTTGAATCATTTTTATTCCCAAGGTCGTTGAATGTGCGCGCGAGATGAGTAGCCGTGATCTTATCCTTCATGTTTTACAATAACGAGAGAATATTACGAAACGCGCGATGATGACGCGCCGAAGAAAGATCCGCGCTAAGAAAAAAAAAAAAAAATGCATTTCGTAACGAACGCTCGCGTCTCTGCGTATTTGTGAAAAATTGTGAGAAAAGTATTTTTTCGCAATTTTCTTTTTTTTCGTATTTTTTAACAGGAAAATCAGAAAAAATGTCGAACGACGCAACGTTGCGAAATTAATGTCAAGAACATCGGGAACACGCGCGACTCGTGGCGACTTAACCACGTCAATCATGATTTCGATTGCATTTAAATGAAGCTGAAGATAAATATTATATCGAAACATTGATCTCTCTCCGGTCTATTGTTGCTCGCTGGTGTTATTGATCTCGCGAACGAACGCAACCGGCGGCGCAACACCATAGACGGATGCGTTAAAATGGAGCAGCGTGACCCTCGGGGGGGCGACTACATGACAAGGAACGTGTGTGGCCGTTGTAAAAAGGCGTTAAGTTACAATCAAGCGTCACTAAACTCACTAACACACACACACACACACAAGCGACTTGACTTGAACACGCTGATAAGTCGGACGAGAGACGTCGTCGCAGCTCGCGGAGAATGTTCGGCGTGTCCTGGTGCCCCGCCCTTTTGGGGTTGGCGGGAGCAGTTGAATGTTGGGCAATGTTACTATAAAAGCAAGCTGGACGCCGGTCGATGGCAGCCACATCCACCTTACCCATCGAGACAAATTCTCCCTGTCGTCGAGCAATCGATCGTCCACCTTTCATCATGCACCCCGTCGCGATTCTCCTCATTGCGGTATTGTCTGTGGCGACCGCGGCGCCATCGGGCTACCTGGCGGCACCTGGTGCCGCGCTGGCCGGTCCGATTTTGGGACCCGCGGCCCTCGCCGGACCGATCAACGGACCCTCCGCACTCGCCGGACCGGTAGTTGGACCCGCGCGCATATCCGGAGCTGTCGACGGCGGCGCGGTTGTCACCGGTTCGGTCGCCGGACCGTCATTGGTCTCCGGTAGCGTTGCTGGACACGCGGCACTGCTCGGACCGGCTTACGGCCTCGCCGCGCCGGCTCTTGGTTTGCCAGCTTACGGTAAGTTAATTAGGAAGTAAAACTGATATCAACTGCGACAGGCAACGTGACAGACAGACACATCTGTCTCATTTCTCTGTTTCGAGAAATGTGAGAATTTTAATTAGCTCGAGTTTTACGACTCTGACATCAGTATGTCGACGAACAAACGGCAATATCGTTACGCGAGAGAGTATCGTGATTTTAATTGAACTAATTAAGATAAAACTCATGTACTTCGGTTTATGTTGTCGCAGCTTTTGTTAGCCATTTTTTCAACACAGCTTGTTGGCTCGTTAACTGCGATAATTAGCAAGTTTCAACATCTTCATTGTTTTGTTTCCTACAAGAAAACTGGTTTATTTAACTTTTGTTGTTATTATTGTCGTCGCGATATAATTTTATGTGAACATTTTATCTTCAAACAAGCATAATCTCTTACGCGTTTGTGCTTAAAAATAATTAATTATCATTGTTTTCAGGAGCGGTGCTGGCCGGTCCTGCCGTAGGCCCAGCAGCCCTCGCCGGACCTATTGCAGCCCCAGCTCTAATCGCCGGTCCATCCGGTAGCATCTCCGCCGGACACGCCGGATTAGGCGGTATTGTTCGCGGATACGCCGGACATTATTAATTCGCTACACAATTGTCAACGCGTCTGATTGGACTCCCGCGACTGATCTCTCCTCGGCATCTCGACCATCGCATCATCACGATCCTCGTTATTGACGTATCATCACATACATTTATATGTTCTACGTGTACATATATATAACAGAGTTCCGCACATATAAATATATATATATATATATCTATATGTATAATGTTATATAAAATAATAATAAACGCATAGCACTTTCTAGAGAACAGAATTTGTGCACAGATCGATTATTTATTTGCAAAACAATTGTGACTCCCGCGCGCAATAACGCACTTCCTATATTTTCCTCCGAATCTTGTATAAAAATTTTACATAAAAAAAGATTAATATTGTTTTACGTAAATAATGGAGATTCATCTCGGATGATTAATCGTCGTATCGCGTGATTCGTAAATGAGGTCTGAAATTTGTCAGAAAAGATACCGGTAATTGATTTAAGCAACTGGTGAGTTACATTTTTGCGCGATCTTCTCGCAGCTTGATTTTCTTTTATCGCGTGATTAAAGAAAGGATTATTAACTGTTACAACAACTTGTGTATTACGCAAGAAGCAATATTAGCGAACAAACTACCGAGGCTCATTGTTCAGGTGCGTATAATACCTTCTCAGAGCGGCTAATCGGAATCGATACGGCCGGTCAAACGGTCTCTATTTTGCGACCGCCATTGTGTCAACATTGGTGCCGAGGTCTCTCTTTGAGGAAAACACCCCGGGGATAGCCCTCGGTGATAATTGTAGGAAATTGCTTCAAACGCAACCCGTTAATTAACCGCGTGTCCTCTTAAAGACAATAAACGCGAATATATTGAGAGGATTGCTCTCTCGCGAGCGACAAACTTTCCGTCGTGCAAACAACGTGCGAGTTGTCAGCGTGTTTGACATTTGTTCTTTCGAAGATTGAAACTCGTCAGCAACTACGACGTCAGACTCTCGCTTGTCTGTACGTCGCTTCGGACACTTATCAATCGCCGATGATAAACTATGACGGAGACGATGCGCGATCGAAACATTAGCGAAGTGTACGTCAGTGACAACAACAGCTGATGCAACTGTCGCTGCGATTGGCGCGCTGCTTATTGAACGGTGTCATAATTCCGTCGCGCGATACGGTGCGGGAAAACGGAGACGGTGTGTTATCGCTGCTGCACACAAAGCACATTGAACGGGATCCCATCGTAGAAACGACGAACGGGAGAACCATATGCCAGATGAATTTTCGCGCGAAATTCACTTTATAGCGACAGATGTGTAACACGCCGGACGGAATCTTTGCACTGCTGACTTGCTGTGTCCGTTTTTAATATCAAACGTTACAAAAAAAAAAAAAAAAAAAAACGATAAAGCGCACGCTTAAAGATCGTCACCGTCTTTCTTGAACGAAATGTTTCAACGAAACTCATCGACGTCACGTGTGTTCGCAATAATATTTTCTCACGTGCGTTGACGATTGTATTTTTTCTCGATCTACTTCTGAGCGACGATTCTTAGTTAGCAACGACAGACGTTGGATTTTTATGACATTCGCAACCGGTTTTCACCGTATGTGTGTGTGTGTGTGTGTGTATTCCCGGCAATTTTCCGTAGGGTTGACAACTGTACCGTTAACTTTTCATTACCATCAGAATCGGTATAAAAGACCGAGTTTCGCGAAGATTGGATATCAGTGAAGCCCGAGTTCTTCCGAGTCGACAATCATGAAGTGTCTGGTGAGTGTTTGTTCTATATATTGATCGCTCTAGAAAAACCGTTACGCGTGCCAATATTGCAAGATACAATAAATTATTAAAAATAGTAAAACAATATCTAAGGAGAGAACAATATCTAAAGTTGATGGAGTGTGTTGGGAAGATAGATAGGTTTCTCAAGGAGAAATACAATGTGTGAGATATAGGAGGAAATTAATATTGGAACGTCACGGGGAAACGTCGTTTTTCCTATTTCTTGTGCTGCGAAGTGCTTTAGCCGTTGGTCGTGTTTTTACAATTCTCGACACATGACGACTAATTTCACTTCACGTTTATCGCGGTCATTAAGTTTTTTTTTCATTTGTTCTGTATTTGTTTATCACCGAATAAGATTTCAACGACGAATCGAAACGTTTGATAATTGATTATTTCAGTAAAAAAAAGTTCAAGATCAAATACACTGAGATTTTGTGTACTGGCTCTCATTCGCCTTTTCGATTCCGATATTATTTTTTCAGGGATAAATTAGTTAAGATTAATTGTAAGTTTGAAATTTGTAATCGAAAGAAGAATCACACTAAATTTATTCTATTCTGTTCTATTCGAGTATATAAAACAACAACAGTAGATACAATTTTTCACTTAACGTGTGAACTTTTTTTTTTTTTGAACGCAGATTTTCATCGCCATCGTGGTGTTTGCCGTTTCGGCCGTTCCCGAACGTCAACGTCGTTCTGTCGTACCCAATGGCGCGGTGGTCGTTGGAAATAGCCTCGTTGCACCTGTTGCTGTACCTGCTGTGGTCGCACCAGTTTCGCCTTCTGTAGCTGTGATCGGTCCCGCTGCGGGTTCCGCGGCCGTGGTTGGACCGGTCGCGAGTTCGGCAGCGGTAGTCGGACCCGCTGCAGGCTCTGCAGCTGTGGTTGGGCCTTCGGCAGGTTCCGCGACTGTAGTCGGGCCCTCTGGAGGTTCGGTGGCGGTGGTTGGACCCTCTCCCGGTTCCGCAGCTGTGGTCGGACCCGCTGCTGCGCCAGCTGCAGTCGTGGCTCCCGGCGTAGGTAAGTAGTTTTTTTTTTTTTAGCAACACGAAGCAACTTTCTTTGAAATACAGTATGCAAAGTCTTGGTTATTCTGATAGGATATTTAAATAAAAATTATGTGCGTTGCAGCTTCGAGCATTGTGGCTGGACCCGCGGGATCAGTTATCGTGCCAGCAGCTTCTGTTGCTCACGGAATTGTGCTCGGATAAAAGGAAACAGCGAAGAGATACTCTCGAAAAATATAAACGACCCAGCGATCTCTCGCCAATAAGAACCGCGTTTGCTATCAACCTCAACTTGCTACCTCAAACTACTTAATTGACGTATTGTAAATACAATAGTTTGAAAATATTCTGACATTTTGCAGCATCCATATCAAGAGATCATGGGATGGTTAAACGCGCGCAACGTCTTGTTGGATTTATAATATCTTTTAATCATCTGTCTTTCGTTCCGTTGTTGCAAATGCGTTATTTGCTCGTTCCAAAATAATTTTTTCTATCATCTAATTTTCTTGTACGATTATTGCGCGAAATCATTGTTAAACGCATTAAAAAAAAAAAAATACATATTTTAATATCGCTCGATATCTTGTTTTTTTATTCGTTCTATTAAAAGTTCTTAGCAAATAGAGTCTATAATGAAAAGACTAGCGTATGGGAAAATCGGTGAAATTGCAGCTGACGGGAGGGGTTTAAATCCGAGGGGTGAGAAAATTCGGGAAAGAGGATTGAAAAAGTCAAAGTGAAGATACAGTCAATGAAATTGTCCCGCTAAGTACGAACAAACTTCATCGTACTTCATCAACCGAGTGGTCGAAGGGAACTTGTTGTGTCGGAAGTATCCGCCGTCGCGCGTGCTTGATGAGAAAAGTTTGATCTTCTCTCTCTCTCTCTCTCCCTCTCGGTTATAATGCACTTTTGTGTCACGAAATATGAATCAAGCGGCATCGGCTCGCTTTCTTTAATAACGTTATCCGGTCACTCTATTGAACATGCTTAACATATAAATAATAAGATATATTATTGTCATACACACATAAATATTCTATTTCATGTATTTAAATAAAATACGCTTTGAAAATACGCTTGAATTATATACATATTAATATGTCATATACATATTTAATATGTTTGTTAAATATGTTAATTATATACATATAAATAAATATGTATATAATTATATACATATTTTAAAAAACTTTTATTATAAATATAATAAAAGTCAGTTTCGAGCAAAACGAGGTGATTTAATATGTTTACAAGATCACACAAGACGTCGCACGTTACAGCGAAACGTTTCGAGCTCTTATTTAAATCTTCTCTTCAGTTGCCAATTAATTAAGTAATTACGTTAATTGAGAGGGTGTGCAACAAAATAAATAATTAAGTTTCAGAACTCGCAAAACAAAAAAAAAAAAATAAAAAGAAAACCGCGCGATAAACAAATTGTGTCAAATTAAAATTAAAAATCGTGTTAAATTAAAAACATATTCCATATCTCCCACGTTGGTCTTGAAATGTGCGCGTTTGAATTAAATAAATCATTTTAAAAAATCCGATGTAAACTATATATGCGGTGTATCTTTTGTGCGTGTAAACTTTTTTATTTTACTTTCATTTTCGGCTCTTCAAAATCACGCTACGTACACCACATTTCCCGCTACAAATCGTTTTCCAGAAAAGAGAATTGCATGATGATGCTATATATACATGATGGGATCGTCGCGCGGCAACACCAACCGTCGGAGCCACCTATATACATGCGCCGCACGTTCGCAACGAACCGAGTTATGCAAATCGTCGTACGCGCCATACTCTGTATCCCGTTCTCATTGGCCGGGACGCGTCGTTGATATTGTTCTCAAATCACTCGACGTGCTGACGCGCGGGACACGAGGATGAACGCGCAATGATAGTAGCCGACGATGATACGGCAGACTCGACGCGATTATACTCTCTCACTCTCTCTCTCTCACTCTCTGTGAATGATACGATCCGATTGGGAATACATCGATTTACTACGCGTTCGGCAATACGTCTGAATTATTCGCGTAATTTTGCACGGACAATGGGACGGTCACTGTAACATCTGTCTCTCCGCGCGTTTAATCCTTTGAGCCCACATTTCGCCCCGAAATTATCTATTGGCTTTGTGTGATTATCTGCCAAGCACATTTTTCACGTGTGAATATTTTCTTTGTGATCAAGCGCTCGTTCGCAATTCATGTTATCGCAAGAATCGTCTTTCTACGGCATTCGATTAATTTTGTTTTTTAGACGTTTGAAAATAAGAACGTGAGGACAAACAACAACATAACAAAAATAATTATTATTATTATTTGAAAATGAAATCTCGGTAATTTCAAAGAGCCTCCGCTCTGCGTATCGCACAATGAATGTTGTCGCATTTCGATCGATATGTCAGATGTCTCGACAAATAATAATTGTATTCAAAAATAAGAACGTAAAGATGACAAAAATATAACAATTGCGTTCGTTTGGAACTGAAATTTCAATAATAATGTCAAAGAGCCGCGGTTAGCTCCGCGCGTCGTCGCACACAACGACACGCTGCATATTTGATCAGTGTCAGATGTCGAGAAGTAAAAGTCCGGAAATAGGCACGCGCGACGTTCGCTACTTTAAAATTGCATTCGTCGAATTTCTGCGATATACGTGCGCGAACCGAAGTGTCTTGTCTGTCGTGGGCAGCGCCAAGTTCCGCGAACATTGCGAGTAATAACAAATGGCGCAACCGTTACATTTCAATCAGCTCTCGTATAGGTGCGTACACACATCGTGTATTCATGATCGCCAACGTCGGGAGACGTGTTTAAAAAAAAAAAAAAAAAAAGAAAATTCGTGTTATCTTTCTAAGCAACGAAGTGAGTGAGACGCAAGCGCGTCGAGAGATAGTTATTGTAAGAAGACCGGTAAAAAAAATGGGAAATTTTAAAACGCGATATCGTGAACGTGTCCGTCCGACAGTTCGTACAGGCGAATATCGTCGAACGAAATACAGAAATTCAGAAAACGCGACTCGGTATGGAAATAAACGCTATCGGGGAACGCTATTGCAATTAAAGATTCGATGTACGAGCTTCGAATGCTGTTAAATAGAAATTCCGAACGTTCCGTAATTCTCTTCAACTATATTAATTCGATCCGCGTTCGGAATGGACGCGAAGTAGGTGTACCAACAATAGAAGTTGCTCGCAATTGAAATTGCGTATCACGGCGAATTGTCAATTGCGCTGTTGCGAGTGTTCGCTTCTCGGAAAACGATCTCGAAGACAGTTTTTTTTTTAACCAGACGATACGGTCTCTCGATAAATTACATCTCACCTTCTTACATTTGTTCCGGAGTTTTTGTTGCAAAACTAAAAAAAAGAAAAAAACAAAAAAATGAGCGACAAATAAAACGAGAACGGCGAAAGTGCGAAGTTCGCTTTATTGACAGCTGAGAACAGGCAGGTAGTTGTGAGCGCGCGAATAACGCGCGGGAAGAGAAAAGAACGACTCTCTCGCGCGCAAGGACGGTAAGACAGCGCGACGTGACTCGTTGGCATTGGTGACCGTTAACTTCTTAACTTTTACTCCCCGTAGATAAGATTTATATCACGGGCTTCTGCGGGCGTGCAACTGTCACGAGAGTTTTGTTAGTTGGGATTTATAACACGCTCGATATCAGAGGCTGCATGCCATTTCTGCGTAGAAAAACAATAGTACGACCTTGTGTCCGAACACACACACACACACACACATACGCGAGTGATTTATTACCACTTATACGCTTGCTAATGCAATGTCCAGCGCAAGAGCCAAATTATTCGTCCAATAAAAATGTAATTACAAAAATTGTGGAATAACTTGTTAAAATTGTCTTTGAAACAAATTTGATAGATTAGAAAAAAAATTTAGACACTGTATGGCCAGAAAGAGAAAATTGCTAAATTTAATCTTTTGTTCGTAGACTGGGTCTGTTCCAGACCCACTCAAAATATGCGCATCGACGTTTCTAGAAAAAATTCGTTTTTTTTTAAACGCTTATATCTTTGAAACTACTGGAGAATTTTTCAATCTGTTTTTTTTTTTTATCGACGCAGAATTGTTCAACTTTTTTTGATTTCAAAAAGAAGAAATCGAACAGATATTGATTTTTCGCTCGAAGATAGTCGATCTTAAAGCAGCGTGGGTCTCACAGACCCGGTCCACAGTTCTCGTAGGTTTTTTTATGCTACGATCGAAGGATTAGACCTGTTGAAGTTTTTGTTTTGTCAGCAGAACGTTTCGTTGACGAAACAAAAACTGAAGACTCAGCAAATTTTTCTTGCTGGTCATGCAAAACTTTTTTCCGAGAATGACTTGCGAGAATGACTTATTAAAAGCATTGCGCGCAAATTAAATAATGTAACTGTTGCAGAAACACAAAGGAATGGAATGGTTACACGTATAAAAGAGACTACTATAGACGAGGAGAGAGTTCAGCGTGCGTAAGAGGCGTAAACTTTGCATCAGGAAACTTCATGTTTCTTTTCCCAAGCACGCGTACTTAGATCAAGCGACTCGCTTTTGCGCTTTTAAACTTTTCTGCTTCCCGCATTCGAATGTCTCTCAACCAGTTATGTATGAAATATGACGCCGTATGTGACTGGCAGACTTTTCTCAGTTAAAAACTGTAATAATTGAAAAAAAATAAAAGAAGAATATAAACGAGGCGATGCTTGTATGTTTAACGAGAAAGAACATTTTTATTTTATTTCTGAACAGCAACAACTTTACAAAGACAAAAATGTGACGTAAAAACAATTCTGCTGTTTTCTACTTCGATATTCTTAATTAAACTTACCGAATCGGTAAGTGTAGCAAGAACATTTTATTTAAGAATAGCGTTGTACACAAGTTTAGTAACTTGTAACAGTTTGTTTCGGTTGAGTTGCAGCGGCATTGGTAGCTGCAACGGACGCAGCACTTTCATCATAATTTTTTTTAGTGTAACTGCGCACAGCCCGTTCCACGGCATTTCTTTCTAAACGACCGTTTCCTAGATCTGCTAGAGTTAGCGCTAGTGCACTTATCATTGGTGCTACACCATCAACGCTAGGAGCAGACCCTTCAAAAGCGGCGTCGGAGGTTAAAGCAGAAGCATCACTGGCACTTCTTTCTAGACGACTGCCTCCTAGACCTCCTAGATCTTCTAGACCTTCTAGATTTTTTAGAGTTAGCACTGGTGCATTTATTATTGGAGCTACACCATCGACGTTAGAAGCAGACCCTTTGGAAGCGGCGTCGGAGGTTAAAGCAGAAGCAGCACTGGGACTTCTTCCTGGACGACTGCCTCCTAGATCTTCTCCTAGACCTCTTAGAGTTAGCACTGGTGCAGTTATCATTGGTGCTACACCATCGACGTTAGAAGCAGACCCTTCGGAAGCGGCGTTGGAGGTTAAAGCAGAAGCAGCATTGGCACTTCTTGCTAGACGACTGCCTCCTCCAATACCTCCAAAACCTCCTAGCGCTGGTATCGTACCGCTAAGACCAGATTCTCCGGCGGAACTTGCAGCAGAAGCGGCACTGGCACCGCCCGCGGCACCGTTGAACAGCGGGAATACATGTGGCGCAGTGACGAAGTGATTCAACAGACGAAATCTGGGCGGAATGTTCAAATGTTGTCCCAAACCAAGACGGAAGTCATCGAAGTAAGTTCTGAAATTGCCGAAGGCAGATGATGCCGCGTCAGAAAATTGTGAAAGTAAACTATGTGAGTATTCTCCAAACCTGGGAAAAGCGAGGTTCGCGAGAGAAGGTAGGGAACTGAAAAGTCCTCCTGACAACAATGACGCTTGGATCACCTGTGACAAATTGGGCAAAGTTAAAGCGGTATGACAAATAAATTTAAACAAATGTCTTGATGTCTTAAACTAATTTATTATAAATAATATTAAATAATAATTTATATATATAAATAATATTAAATAATAATTTAAATAATATTAAATAATAATTTCAAATAATAATATAAACCAATTTTTTTTTTTTTTTTTTTTTTTTTTTAAATTGAATATTAAATAATAATTAAAAAAAAAATATATATATATATATAATTTTAGCAATACGTGTGTATCGTGTACAAACGTGTGTACGTACAAACACTTCTCTTCATTAAATATTTCCTTTTGTAATTAAAATTGTAACAAGGTAAAAAAAATGTGGATACTCACATTTGCCGAAACGAGCGCTAGGAAGACCGCGGTAAGAGCGTGACTTCGAACCATGTTGAGTGCTACGTTGCGTGTAACTGCGAGATGCGCTGTACTTTTTACAGTCGATTGCAGTCGAATGATTCTTCTCTAGATCGAAAACGCCCTTTTATATACGGTGCGGCAGCCGAATATTTTCTCACACACACACACACACACACGAGAATAATATCTATATAATTCGGGAATTATCAATTTAAAATAACATTGATTTTGTTTCGTGAAATATCTTTAAACAGTGAGACACGTCTCGTCTCTCTTTCTTTCTCTAGATATGTCGTCAATTTTTCCGCACGACTGTGATGCAATGCAATTGAGATAACGTAAGCAGAAACCTCATGCGCGATCATTTCAATTCAATTGATTCGCGCACGATTCCAATCTCACGTTTCGCCGCGTCCTTGAGGCGCGTCCACGTGTACGAAATATATTATCGAATAAGCGTCAAAAAGCAAGTAGATATAATGTAACAATATAAAAGAAAGAGAGAGAGAGAGAGAGAAGTGAATCAGCTCCGAGTAATATATTTTGTCACATCTCATATTCGACACGACCCGCGCGCAGATAATATGAGCTTTTTTTGTTTTAAAAAGAACTACTACTGATCGCGGAAAAAAAAACTGTCGCGAAAAGTGAAAAGTTTTCGAAATAAATCGTCTCTATTTTGCAAATGGACAGCAAAGTTGGGAGAATTTCGATGCGTCGACAATGCGGTTGTCAATCTTCCGGTGCGTAGAGAACATTCGGGGGCGCTCGGCTGTTGTAAATTTTAATTGGAACAAAATTGATTATCGTCGCGCGCGGCGGCGCGGCGCACAGTTCACTGAGCACAATTCTCGCCTCTTTCCCTTGTGGAATCTCTATAATAGAAAATAATGAGAAATATCACGGTCGCGGGTACATATCCGTATTCGCGAGTTCCACACAAGCGCGGGCGCGAATTTCCTTTCTCCGCAAATTATCCGAGCTAATTATTATTCAATAATGAGATCATTATCGTTGTATGTGCGTTTTGTTCAAATAAAACGCGCGAATGTCACTCGTGAAAAGAATAAATTACACACGCGCGCGTATTAACTGTAAATTTGATTCAATTTGTGAATGGTATATTTGCATATTGTTGTTGTTTTCGCGATACTCATTTACACATCGCATTATCTCGATCTCCATATAGATACATCAAGCGCAAATTCCTCTCCCTTCAACGTACATAAACGGAAGCTAATTATTGCGTCACTATGGGGGACGGTGTCGTACTGCAAATGGGAATCATCGGGAAAATTATGGCAGGATGCGACGCGATACGCGCGCGGTCAGACGCAGTTTCGACGCTGCGCGCGCGCTCGTCTCGCATTCGCTAAATGCACGGAAACTCGCCCGCGTAAACAGGCCCGCTCTCTCTCTCTCTCGCATTTACGCAACATTGCCCAGCTACGACGTGGATTCAACTAATGCAGATAATCGCGAGCGGTTTATTACCGAACGGAGCATTAGCGCAGTTTGCCAATTTGAACGTCGTCGTCGTTCGGACGAGGACGACAATAGTTCGGAGTTGAAGGAGCCGAGCTACATTAGGGGAAAAAAAAAAAAAAAAAACGTGCGAAAAACGTGGATAATGAAAACGAGACCGAATGACTTTTGGACTCGGGCTGCTTGCGAAGTCATTAGTCCGAGATCGGAGGGGTAAAAATCCGTCAATCTCCGTTTTCACATTGTTTCCGTCTCAACAGATTTATTTACATGCTGTGCGAGCTTGTATTGTTTTGTTTTTCTCAGCAATCGAATTTCTCGAAAACAACAACAACAAAATGCAACTCCAATTAGAAAGACATTGCTCGTCGTTTATTACATAAGTGAATAATTTGTGCGCGCGCGCGTGTGTGAGTGAGTATTTTCTCATTTTGTAAGTTTCGAACATTTTTGATGAAAGATTACAAATTGATAAAAGATCTGCGCGTGCGCGCGTTCGAATGTCGCGTGCTTGCAGTGTTTTTTTTGGTTTTTTTGATTTGCACGCGGTAAAAGTGCTAACGAGCACATCCGCGCGTATCACATCGACGCGTGTATCTTCCTCGTGTATCCACGCACGTAGAGGCAACGAATCACGCTCACGGGGTTGGGGGGGTGGTGAAGGGGGGAAGAGAAGGGTGTAACAATGAAATACAATTAACCAGACAATTTTACGCGAGTGCGGAGAAAAACAGGAGAGAGGCATTTCCCGTTGGTAATCCTCGTAATGGCATAACGCGACGAACTCTGGATGCACTTTGCTCTAATGCACTCAGCATTGCGACCGCCGACAACGCGAGCGGGGAGAGATGAAACGTTTGAAAATAATACCTTGTTGGGAGATATCGCCGGAAATATATTCCGGTGGACGGAAAATGTTAATTCATGTGTATTTTTACGCTTCCAGAGACTTGCGGAGAGAGTACCGTTAAAAAATACAAAACGTGCGATAAAAAAGTGCTGCGTTTAAAAAATAAAATTTACAAAAATTATAAAAATCACAAAATATTGTTTTGTAAGCAACGCCGAAGTTTACGTATCTGAGAAATTTCGAAACGTCGATAGAGCGCGTCGGCAGGTGGCTGCGCGATTTAACGAGTTGCATATATTCCTCCCTTCTCTTCCCTCTCTCTCTCTCTCTCTCTCTCTCTTTCTCGATCGAACGAGAAACAAACCCTTTCGCGAGATAACGACGTCGTATCGCAGTCACGAAGGAGCATCGCCAGCGGTCGTTCGTGAGTTCCCGCAGCGATCGCGACGCCGTTCCGATAAACACCGTCAACGCTTTTCGCGTCTTGCGGTATCCGATAAGCCTCGACAATTTGGACGAGGCGTCAAGACGAACGTCCGAATTTGAATGTATCCGTTTTAAAGTCCTCATTAAAACGAACACCTCGTTCCGTATAACGCGCGAACAACAGCGTGTGGTGCGGTAAAGAATCGTATCGATCGTTCGTTCGCCGCACGACATCGATTGATTTTCGAAAGAAGAACGAAACAAAAAAAACTTACATCTCTCTCACTAAGCGCGCGGGCGTCGCAGGAGTGATTTAATTCTCGACTCGCTCTGTGATAAAAATTATTCAATCTAATTTGAATCTATTACGACAATTACAGTCACGTTGCATCTGATTTAAATATTCCATTTATTCAATATAATTGTGTTATATTAATATTACAATTGTGTTATATCAATATTACTTTTTTTTTTTAATCCAATACTTCTTGCAGAATATTGCTGATCCGAGAAATTATAAATTAAGATAAGAAGTTTCCAACACGGGCAAATTTCTCTCTCTCTCTTTTCTTTCTAAATATTATTATTATTATTATTATTATATTTTATCCAGATATTAAAATAGTTCTTAAAGCTACAGCGGTGGATCGTAGGTTTAACCGTGGACCGACGAGCCACAGCTTCGAGGTTTTTATTTTAATTCTTGGACTTTTCCCAGAAGCTTGTTTCCTAATTAATTAATTCCATGTTATATTTTTTACGATACGAGGAGTAGCAATAAGAATTAAATAAGTACAGCATCTTCTTTAGGATGGTTTTTTTGGTGCTTCAATTAGCGTTGAAAACATACCCCGATGAGACTCAATCCTGACGATGATATTAACTTTGACTGCAGTATATTTTATATCAAGCGCTCCTTCAGCTTATGTTCGTTGAGGGACTCTTTTAACGTTTTCGCGCTGCGCCATTGCGAGAAAGACGTACGTAGAATCTAAGAGGGATCCTAATCTGACGGCGAGGAAGCGCCAGACGAAGATTAATGGTCCCGCGTGATACCGGATCTCTCTCTTTCGGCCGGTGCTCTCTCCGTAGTAGCTTCTTCATACAATTTGTACGTATCTCGCGATCGTCCCTCTTGACTGAAAATATTTCTCGCGTTGGAATATTGCAAAATGTTTTGCGCCGTGGGAGTAACAAGAAATTCTTTGACAGACAATCTTTCAATAAGCGCGCTTTCCAGACCGTCCGCGCGCGAGGATCTTTAATAACAACATTTTGCGTGAGATTTTTTTCTGCGAGAAGAGAGACATATTTTTATTTTATTTTCTCTCATTTTCTGAACTCTGTGAAATGTGTTTTGTGTTTGTTGCCGGCAGATAGAGTTCTATTTTTTTAAATCATTCTCTGTCTTTCGAAAAAGCGAAGCAGCGAAATGAACAACAGACTTTTTAAACGTCAGAGTCGACGGTTGCAAAGCTATTTCGCATTTCAAAAATTTACTCGCGCACAGAATATTTTGCAAACAAAAAAATTTCTGAAACGAGAGAAAATAGCGTATGATCGAAAATTTGCAAGAGAGTTTGTTTTTTAGATGTGTAAAAAGATTTTTGTTGTTGAAAGCGAAATATTTGTATGCAAACAACGTGTGGAGTTGTGTTAGGGAAAAAAGAAAAGAGAGACGGACAGTCAGTCGCAAGCGAGCGGGACGCGGCGAGAAATAAAATTCAGAGTTCGCACAATTAATTTCTCTCTTCCGTCTCGGCTTACAAATTCTGATGCGTTTTTTGAAAACAATAAAAGATCGAGGTATCTTTTCCTCTGAAAAAAAAAATTTTATTACATCATCGGGTATTTTTATCAACTTTTTTATTCGCAAATACATTGTCGTTCCGCTCTGATATTATCGCGAGCGATAATTTCAAGGAGTCGACCATTGATTTTCCATCTGTTCTCGTCTATTGCGATCGCAACCTGTCCTTCCGCGTTATTTCCGCGCGTAATCTGTTTTTCTGCATACTACATCCGACGCCATTATCAGACGGTTATCAATTTTAAACTTGATCATTGCGACGCGCGTCCCGTCGCTTCCGGAATGATTTACGATCTATCCACGAGCGATATAACTGCGACGCTCGAGTAAATTTCACTTAAAAACGAGAAGAAGAAGGATTTTGTAATGAAACATTTTTATTGCAAAATAAACGCGGGGCAGATCTAATTTGTCGAATAAATAAAAAGATGAAGCGAGACAACGCGCGCGAGGTCGTTTTTATTGCCACGAGGTAATTATACGCATTTTTTAACGAAGTTTTTTTAACGGAGTGCGTGTTTTTAACCGCGCGACAAAGCGTGACATTCTATTAATACCGACGCCCGACGTTGTCGCGTTGGTATTAATTTCGGGAAAACGCGCGCGATCCGCGTGTCGATCATCGTTGCGTGTAATTGCGACGACGACGACGACGCGCGCTCGCGTGACCCGACGAATAAAACGCGGGCATCGCACCTATCATCATCGTCATCAGCTCCGCTAATTGCACCCGGCATTTAACTGCTATTTAAGCCGGCGCGGCCGGCTTATCGTTCGGAGGCGCGATGTTACACGCGATCGCACCTCTTGTTGTTATTATCGCCGGCAATTGTGGTCGACCGCTTTCGCTGCGGATTTGCCAGGCTCGAGAAACACGGGCGCTCGACTAATCTCGACTAATTTAAAGATAACGGCAAAACAATACCGTGAGGGCGCGTAGCCTCCTTCATTGGGGGGACCATCGATAAATCTTGCAGCACTCGCCGTTGCGGAAACGTTTGCGCAAATGGCAAACCCTCGCGCTCTTCCCAGCGCGATAAGGAACGAACTTAGCGAGAGAAACGTATCGATCCATCGAAATTAACACCGCCAATGGTGTTCAGAATTATTACAACATCGTCTTTACCGTGTGTGTACATATCGCATCACTTCCTCTCTAAAAAAAATGTAATGTTGGATCATTAAGCATAAAAAACTTGACAAATATACATATATTTGTCAAGACTACATGTTTGATATATGATCCAATAATTATACGAAACGATTTCAAAATTTGTTTGCTCGGTCAAAACAATTGATAAACAAACAAGAGTGGAAACAATCGTATATATTTAACAAAACTAACTCATATTATTGTTACAATTATTAATTTATATAATTAGTCAGCCGATACATATGACACAACGCGAGGTGTTATTTTAACGTATTGCACAATATCAAAATACTAATTTAATTAGATAGATATAATTTATGTTTTTGTAATTGACAAATATATACAAATATCCTTCATCTTTATACATATATATGTGTTGGATGTGCACTTATACTTAAAGATACAATATTAAACAGCACGTAATTTAACAGTCAATGAGAGCCTTAGGCTGGATGTTTGTTGCAAAATAAAAAAGATTATATATATATATTTATATTGCACGAGTGTTTCGCGCCGTTCGAGCGCGACTTCGTTGCGCGTGAAATTGGCGCGAAACACTGAAATTTCCATTCAAAATTCACGTGTACAAAATTTACACAAAGAAATATAAATATATATTTATTTATTTCGCAACGAACATTCGGCGTAAGGCTCTCACTGACCGTTAAATTACGTGTTGTTAGTTTTAAACTTCTTAACTCTTCATTAAAATATTACAATTTTTAAAGGTTCTTAAGAGTGATCGAGTTTGGTTATTTTCAAGTGTATCCCATTTTGTGGCGACAAAATTATCGAACGTATATTCACTTTGTAGGGTATGTCCGTTTTCGCGCAAGTTTCGAATTTGTATTTGCGCAGCATCTTTACGAGGCCGATTTTGGTCTGGTAAATGGCGAAGCGAGCACCTAAAAAATCAAAAATAATAAAACAATTGATCTTGTAGAAAATGTTTAAAAATAAAATTGAATTTTTTTGTCGCACCAATGCAATTCCTCGGCCCGTCGCCGAAAGGTATGAAATACATAGAGTGTCTGGCTCGCACAGCCTCCTCGCTAAATCTCTCCGGATCAAAAACATCTGGATCCGGATAAATACTCGGATCACGTTGGAGCGTATAAATCGGTATCCATATTTGTTGATCTTTCGGTATAGTAACTTTGGTGCCGTCGAAAGTATAACTCGACGTCGATGTTCTCATCGTAAACAGCAGCGGCGTGTATTTTCGTAAGGTTTCTGAAGTGCGTTCGACAACAAATAACTCACAAATTGCGAAAATGCGTTTCTTTAAGCATCGCTTTTTTTAAGCGACACACTTTAATCTTCAGTAACAAAAAAAAATATCTATCGTAACTTTACTCAGAATTACAAAAAAAAAAAATTATATTTCGTCAGTCCCTGCGTACAATCTCGTGACTCTAAAATGCAAATTTTAGAGAACAGTTTGAAAGTTCAAAACTTCATATTTTTTCCTAGTTGAGGAATTTTTCCGGTTTCAAATTTTTACCTTACTTATAAATATTGTTGTAAATATTTGGTGATCATAAAGAGAATGACGTGACCTTCTTTTTTTTGAAATTGAAAATGTGACACTTATAAGTAATTGTACGTAGGGACTGTCGATTTTATATTTTTCGTCTCATTTGTACGTTTTGATTTTTAACGAAGAGACTCACCTTTGAAAACTTTGTCCAAGTAAGTTAACTTCTTCACATTTTCGTACGTTAAGTCGCCGTCGCATTTCGCGTATTCCTGTTGAATTTCCTCGCGCAGCTTGTCCTGCACTTTTTGATTCAGCGCTAATTCGTACAGCGCGTGGCTCATGGTCAACGACGAGGTTTCAAAACCGGCGATAAAAAATATGAACGCTTGAGAGGCCAACAAAGCGTCCGTCAATTCTGCGCAGGTGCGTAATTTTTGTGTTTTAATAAACTCAACGATTTTATAAGGCAAGACATTTCGATGTGTTTTGATACGAGAGAGAAAAGATGCAAGAGAACTCTTTACCTATGTTGTCTATTTTTTCCGGATGTTTCTTCAAATCGCGCAGAACGTCGATGAAGTCGTGTCTAACGATGTTATTCTTGTCCCTGTACTCCATGTTCTCCAATGTGGTGCGCAAGAAGAATTTGGTTTCTTTTTTTTGCGGCAGAACGTAACCGAGAATTCTGTATATCGACGGAACGTTGTCTCTGATAATGTTTAGCAGCTTGTTGTACCAATTGGAAGCGAACAATTGTCTTGCCATCTTGCGAAATTCACTATTTTCGTTCGTCAGAGCGTTCATCTCGACGCCGAAAGCGCAAGTGCCGATGACGTCGACCGTGTATTTGGACGTTAGATCGCGACATTCAACCGGTTCATTGGTGTTCGCCAGTTTCTCCATGTGCCGCTCGAGATGATCGGCGCACTTCGATATCAGAACGAACATCTCCTTCAGTTTGCCGGAAGTGAAAACAGGCGACAATCTCATTCTCAGCGGCCGCCATCTCTTGGGTTCCAGAGAAGAGAGACGTTGACTCAGCGGCTCGGTCTACAATGTGTGAACGTAAGAAAACAAATCATCTCTCTCACAGTTGCAAGCAACTCTCTTCTTAACAATTGCAAACAATAGCTTGAAGTATTTACGCATTTTATTACCTTTTCGAAGATGTTCTCGGTTCGTCTGATGGGGAACACGGCGAAATCTCGAATGAGAACGTTCTTAATTAAATCCGGATCTTTTAGAATAAGTATGGGCTGCCTCTTGACGAATATCCCGATCATCGGCTCGTCTTTGTACGTGCTGTACAAATTCGTCAGGTATTCGTGCGCCGGCTTTTTCGACAGGATAATATCTTTGAAATTGCCGAAAAACGGTATCGGTTGCGGACCGGGAACGCCGCGCGACTTCCAAAACTCGAAAGTCGACGTAAAGTAATAATACAGAGCGAGAATCGCGACGAGAATGCCGCTCAGTAATTCGAGATATTCCATCGTCCCGCGATTTACTTCCGTCTGGTTGGTTTTGTTAAATACAGGCGGTGAAGAGAAACTTAAAACCTCGGAAATACGTTAACAATATATCTCCGATATTATTTCCGTCTTTACATCGTCGCCTAGTTCACTTAAACTAAAACTTGCTCCAAGACGAGACGCGTTTAAATGCGTCATGTAATCATATGTGTCACGATGAATCGCAAGAATTCGATATCTTTGTTTTTTATCTTGACTTTAAGACCTAACTTCAAACGCAAAACATACACGACTGTAAATAATCAGAATGACAACGAGAAAAATTAGTCGATTTATTTTCTCTTATCTATCATCAATATAAACACATCTGATAACGTTAATCATTTCTAATGAAAAACAATAACGTAGTAAGAGAAAAAATTAAATTATTATTTTATATATTGTGTCTAATTATTACCGTGACATTACTCTGTATATGTTAATTACTATTGCGGTTATACATACTATTTTATTGAATAAATAATTTTCTGTATTGCTCGAAAAATTGACCTGATATTATTATCATTTAATTACTGAGAAAATTAAAATTTAATTCGCGTTGAAAATTTAACTCTCGCGTTGTTCGAAATTTCATTCGGTGTTTCAAGTACGAGGGAAAGGGGGAGCGATTGATAAGTATCCGAGATGAAAAGGCAAATAACGATTTATCGGGGGATTGAAATGTATTTATTTTTTTGCAATGTGATCGCCTTCTCTAGCTCGACACGCTCTGAGTGTTTTTCAAGAGCACTTTGACAGAACGAGTCTCCCGATCGCTCTTCAAAATGACCGATTGCGGCACCGATGGCTTTGTTGTTGCTCGAAAATTCCTTTTTCATCTCGAGCCAGTTTTTTCAGAGATTCAAATAGAAATCGCGCCACGGGTCCGCGAACCAAGGCAAGGGATGAGGCAGCAGTTCGACCTCGTGAATTTTGAAGCCATTGAAGCGCGATCTGGTGCGTTGTCAAAAAATTGCTGAGAGCAATCTAGAATTTCGAGAAATCTCTTGATGAGTTGTCATACAAACACACCGCGCGCGATAACGAGTCAGCGTTTGACGTTTGTTCCTCTGAAGAACGAAACTTGTCAACGACGACAAGCAACCCGATACTGCTGTCGCTATCTGTGCGTCGTTTCGAGTACTTATCAATCGTTTCTCGCATGATTACGAAACATAAATTTTTTTTTTTTCTACTCGTTTCGCGATAATTAACTATACGCGCGCGATCGATTCGGATCGGCTTAAAAATTTTTATGTCGGCAAAATTGTATTTCGCTCGCACGTAACACCAGCGCGCACTGTTACTTTTCAAAGAAGATAAATCTATTGATCCTGGATACGGTCCAAAAAGTCTTTCTATATGAAAATTCTGCGCGATCACACGATGTTCTGAAAGAAACGTCTCTGTTGAACAATCTCTCGTGATTTTCCCTCCCGTGGGATCGCCAGCTATTCTTTTCTTTCTTCTTTCCTCGCATAGAAAGTGCCAAAAAAAAAAAAATTCAATTGCTGTATTTATTTCTTTATTCGGCGTTTTTTTTTTATTCATTCTTTGGAGATTTAAATTGCGCGGAGAACCGATTTTTCAATAAGATAGTTTTATTAAAAGTATTATTTTTTTTTTTTTTTTTTACATTCGTTCTTTGGAGATTTACGCTGCGCGGAGAAGTGATTTCTCAATAAAAAAAATATTATTATTTTTTTCTAAAAAAATACAATACGAGAAAAAAGATTACGGACCACCAGAAGCTTTCACAGAACGCATTCCCGTGATGTCGCATATTTTCCAATAAGATTACACTTTATATTGTGTCAATAGCGCAGTCATCTGAATGGAAAAGTTCAACAATGCGAGGTTTGTAAATTTGCGAATGCAAAAGTTCGTGGACTTTAGAATTTTGAGACTTGCATTAAACATCGTCTCATGAAAGAGAAAACTCTTAACTGTATATATATATATATATATATATATACATATGGAGAATTTCATTTCGCAAAAATGTGACGAGCGCAAAGAAGCCAGGAATTTCAAAGTTAATTGTTTGCGTTCTCATAAAAAAAACGTTATTTCTTACCGTATTTCCATCGCGACACACGTACAACGTGTCTGTCCTTATTTTTTTTTGTTTTTTTGTTTTTTCCAACATTCTGTATATTGCATAATAATAGTTGCAAAAATTCTTGCGCGATGTGTCTATGCGCGTGTGGGCGTCGACACGAGGAAGTCGCGGTCTCATGTCTGACCATAATAAATTCCTCCACTATTCCTCTCCGCGTGTCTGGCGGGTCACGGACGTTTTTCACTGTCGGTGCGTTTGACCGCACTCAAAGTTTCTTCACAGCGATCCACAGTAAGAGGAGTGCAATTCTCCCGGCGCTGTCGATGCGAGTGCGCCGACGAATTATTTCTCCCCGGATAAGAGGGGGAACGAAGGGAGAAAGGCGGGAGCCTTCCGGGGCTCGGTGCCATTAGTAATGGTTTTAATTTGTGCGGCTGAAAGTTCACCCTCGGCCGGTCTCGATCGGCGCGAAATCGATGACGAACGAGTCTCGAGAAAACGCCGGCTTCGGAAATGGATTCCGCCACGAGAAAATGGTACCGCCGATCGGATCGTTTGCAGGAGTCCGCACACGGAAATCGAGGCGGACTTTTGTGTCGCTTGCTGCCGTTGCAACCAACCCGCGAATTCGCTCGAGCGTGATCAATTATTTGGCGTCGTACGTATTTTATTTCAGACTAAACGAAATTGCGTCGCGTGTGAAAGTTACATCGGAAGAAGTGAATTTCATTAGAATTTCTTGAAAATTGAAATCGAGCGCGATGTGTTACAGTTAAAAAACAAAAAAAAAAAAAAAATTAAATGCTCTCGCGCAATTTTTGCACGTTATGTAAATTTCAGCGGGAAAATTCGCGCGTTTTCAAAAATTCGCACTCTCTCGCTCCTTCCTCTCTTCTCCCGGCGAGAATAAAACTCAATTTTGCATTCATTGAACTGCCTGAAATCGGTTTTAAAGTACGAAGCTAGCAGTTACGAATTAAGAATAAATGTTTCTTGCATAATGCAGAGAATGTAGAAAGTGGAGATATGCGCTCTTATATCTTTTATTAAGGTGTGTAACGGGAATATAAAAAGAGACGAGCACGAGCTACATCGAGTGTATCGCCATCCTTCGGATGCGTGAGCAACTTGCTCGCGCGCCACATTCGACTCCGCGCTTCGACTCCAAACCACTCGGAAACTTGATTTTCAATTCATCACGCGTGGTTCGTGTCTTCGCTAACCTGCGCTCCCCGACAGAATCATCGTAAAACCTGTTGCTACGCTATTTAAATATTTGCGTGTATTTTTTTTTTTTTTTTTTTGCATTTGGTAACAGAAACAATTTTAAGATCACACGTAGTATCTGGCTGCCACTTTCTCTCGAAGTGAAAAATTGCGTAGCTTAATATTGTTTTAATACTACACGACACAAAATTCGTTAATTTAAATTACTTGAGAGAGAGAAAGAAAGTGCAAAGAGATATTGCAATCTTTTTCAACAAAAACAATAATTCTCCGACGAGGAATGTTACGCAAATATTTTAAATATTACATGTGTCATACACGCTTTTCGTGAAAGAGAAAACAATATTCGAACACTTTGCGACGTCATTATTTACGCATGAAATATAAGGAAAGCGTCTGGGCGACGTGAAATTTTATAATGAGAAAGGAAAAAGAAGTTCACGATGTGCGGACGACGTGGATCCTTATTCGTCGCCAGCAAAATTCCGGTAAAAGTCCTTTAAGTTTACGACGCGTGTAGTCGCGCATGAAAAGTGCGAAAGAGCCACTAAAACACAGGTAGTAGCTCGTAGAACTTATTATGACGGCTTCTGCCATCCTTAGTTTCTTTTCTACGACGCGACTTTGCACAACTTTTTCGAAACAAGAAGAGTAACGCGTCAAAATACGGTACTGTGTTTTCGCGGTTTGTTATAATAACATTTTTTCATGGTTGTGTAATTAATCAGTTATTACATTTTATGTTGTACACGTGTCCAATATGTTATAAATTGTTCTCAATAGTAAATTGGTTTTATAAATTTTTAAAGGAATAATAGAACAATTTGCCTTCTCGCTTAAACTATTTTTTGTACAACACATTTTATCCTGAAATAATGTTTAAAGTATTGGGTATCGATAAAGTGCATTAAAAAACAATATTACAGTATATTTCGGATATAAAATAAAACAATCACAAAACTAAAACGTAACAAACACGTTTGAAATGGAGAAAGAATGAAATAAATAAAATAATCGACAAATTATTCAATAACCATTACAGCAAAAATAATGTATTAGCAAAATTGAATTGTGTTGCTCCGAAAGAAACGGCGATACACGGCGAGTGCTGTCACATGGGTGCCGACCGAGCACGTGGGTTGACTCGTGCTGATTGGTTGACACGCACGTGGTAACCTCGAGGCGAGCAGAGACGCTCGGGCGTCTCCGGCAACTATCGTGAGTCGACGACCGACAGCTCGGCGGCAGTCGCGCGCCGGCCGCTGTCAAGATAGGATGTGTATACTTTGTTTCCGCGTGATGACGAGGGTTCGGTTATCGTAGAGGTTATGTTTACGCACGTCGCAAGAACGCGTATCTTTTCGCGCCGGTAATTTTGAAAGTAACCCGCACATCAAATGTCCGCGCATCTATCTCGGAACGTCATCGCAACGTTAATCGAGGGATCTCGAAAGGATTCTTTTGGCAATAGATTCAATCAGTAACTCCCTCGAGCCGTGGAAAAAGGTGAGAAAATATTTGATTATTTAATAGTGTAATAAATAATACACTTATATATAGACACGAACACGCGCATCGTAAAATATCCGCAAATGTGTTTTAAATACCAATATGCAAACTGCATCGAACGTTATATGTTCCGATTTAACTAATTTCGGAGCAAATGCAATTCCGTTTGAAATTTAATCCCGCGTGTGCAATATTAGATATTTCGTAGATTATAAATTATCCCAAAAAACTATTGCAACTCGTAAAGTCAAATTTGAACCAATTACTCGGCGTGTAATGGTAATAATCTATTATATATCGTGTCCCGATATATAATTATACAACATTTATATCGAATTTTCGCGAATAAAGTGCCAACTTCGGAAAGATGAGCGTAATCCATGATGGCGCCGATGCGATGCTATCGGTGCGATATTGAACGTGTAAGTTTAATTACCGTTTTGTCATCGGTCGGAAGTTAAATAACAGTTACGACCTTATATCCGGGATGACAATAACAATTTTAATCCCCCACGGGGTCTTTTCGATACGACGGGTGCGCGGGGAAGGACGTACGCGCGCGCGCGCAAGTTATTGAATGGGGCCGGAGAGCAAAATGTATATGTCTATGGTTACACAATGCAAAATCGTGTACGTTACATGTGTTGTGTGTATCAAATATCGCGCTGTTGTGTTTACTATCGTTTGTGTTTACTTCTAGGTATAATATTTATTACCAGTAAAATATGTAAATGTTTATGTAAATTTCTATATTATTGTACGCTTAATTGATTAAAGTGCAACAAATAACTCGCGCATTATTAATTTTAGATATATTGTATATATAAATATTTTATATAAATATATATATAAATATATATAAATATAAGTATATGTATATATATACATACAAATATTGCAATAATAGGTTTTTTTTTCTAAAATCTTTGCGAACGATATAATAAATCGATAGGGACGTCACATAACAGTGTGTCGTATCTAAAATTACCATATATATGCAAATAAAATAATTTTAATAAAAGTGTTTTAATTGTTTTCAATGTTTTATTTATCGATATTGTGATTTGTGAAAACAATTGTGCAACAAATATATTAAAAATTTTATTGCGCCGAATTAAAAAATTTACGCACTGTTAAATAATAAACTCTTTGTGTTACGCGCGATAAATATTTGATCAGTTTTTTTTAAATCGATATCTCTCTTTCCCTTTTCTCGTTTTTGTTTATGAGAGATAAACGACAATTCATTTCTCACGGTTAAAATGAGCGAGCGGATTGTAAAAAAGTGAAATGCACTTCCACGCCACGGTTTTGCGCGCTTGGCTGTGATGGCAGTGTGTAAACGATTAAATTTCATTGCATCGTGTTGCGAAATGATCAAAATTTACGGTATCGATGTCTGAAGTTCTGGAAAATTAACGGGAGAAGATGCGATCGAGGATTATCAAGAAACACGAGGAACAAAAGTCGAGGTCGCACGTCGCGAGCGCGTGTCGTTCTCTCAAAATCCGAGAATCACACACGAGATTCACATGCGGGCGAATAAATTAAATTCTTTTTTTTTACAGCTTTGGCAAGACTGTACTAATTGTTCTCTCATCAATGTAACACGTGAAGAGAAAAAATTATCTACCGCAGAAAAAAGAGCAGATTTCAAACAGTTAGTAAAGGGATTTGTTCTCTTTCCACCACGTAATGATCCGGCGGTCATGAATTTCGTCCGCAAATTCGCCCGTATGCGCAAAAAAACCACATTCTGCTGATAAACCGTACTTTAAAAAAAAAAAAAAAAAAACGTAAAAGACATTTTACACATAGAGATGATGAGGTAGGCTCGATAAACGTTGAATCGTCCGTTGCGCGGCTTTGCCGCGCGCAGAATGAATCGTTCTCGATCTGAATTCGCTCTTTGAAGCGGGAAAAAAAAGAAACACATACATACATCATCTGCTTAGTAAGCGTTTCTTCCAGGATTGCCCGTGCAATCTACGTATTGGAAAAAACGCGGGGAAAATGATCGCGTTAACGAGAACTCGGAAAGAGATCCGCGAGCCGTTTTCCACCTATTTTCCTCCGGGAGGGTCGGCACGACGCGATATCGCGAAGACGTTTTTAGGACGATCGTAAATCATAAAAAAATTGGCCAGAGACGCGCGGAGAGGAAAATAGAGAGAGAAAAGCAAAAATATATTATATATATACATATATATATTTAAAGCACTTCTTTTCCTTTCCCTTTCTTTTCTTCGCGTATCCTCGACTTCTCCTTCGATTTTCTCATCTTCATTTTCATCCTTTCTTCTCGCGCGCACCGCGTCTTTTCCCGTGCCATTAGGGCGCTTTATGGTCGAGACGAATTATAGTCGAATAAGGCGTCGCGATTACGGCAACCTGAACGCGACGTAGAACGAATCAGAAGAATTTGGTTTAACAGTCTTCTCGTTTTCACCTCAAAAGGAGTCTCGCGCGAGGCGGACAGAGAAAGTGTGTGTGTATGTGTGCGTGTGCGTGTGTGTGTGTGTGAGTGTGAGAAAGAGCATCGAGAAAGGAGAAGATCCGGATATATTTTCCTTCCAGATGTTGGCGGCCTTTCATCTCTCCGACGTGCTAATTACAAGATTACAAATTGCGCCAGTATGTCGTGATTCCTCACGGCGAATTACTTTCCTCGGTGCTTTAATTACGATCACGGCGATCTCTCACTTCTCTACTCGAGTTCCTTCGCACTTCTCTCTTCGCGTCTCCGTCCGCGTTTCGTCGAGAGAGAAATTTCTCTCATAAGTTTGCTTTCGTTTCTTTTTTTTTTTTTTTAAGGATCTAAATGTGTAAACTACTGTTAGCCGACGTTACACACGTGTGTAAACTACTGACACTGCGCGTGTGCATACACATATGTAAATATCCGTCGGGAAAAATGTACATGAAATATGTAAAGCAGAACGGACGGGAGAAAAGTAATACGAGACTTTTAGAAAAGTAATACGAAGTAAGAAAAAAAAAACAACTGTGTGCGTTCGTCACTGAGTTCGCAATGAGTGTGGTTTTTCAAATAAATTACATCTGAAAAATTATACCGAGCTCTTCGAAAACCTACTGCTCGACTCCATTTCTCAGTTGAAAGGATTGCCCATCGCAACGGTATATATTCGCCCGTATCTCTCCCGGGGATTATCACTCGCCAACGTTGGAATATTTCTCGTTCTTTTCTTCGCGACATTGTAGAACGCGCCTCGAATAAAGGAGCCGCAATTACTCAGGTCGAAGACTCTCCGCGCGTCGGAAAATGGAAGTAAGAAGAAACGCGTTTCTCCTTTTGTCGTATCATATAATAAAGTCTCGAGCGAGAGAATCGTACGCGGGGCCCTTAGGTACAATACGTATGTACGTACACACACGGTCACACAAGTCGCCGGCAAGTCTGCGCGTCGCGGACTTCGGTTGCGCGCATGGTGCAACGACGACGAATGCGCGAAATTCCCGTCGAAAGTCCGCGTCGTTGTTTCTTCCGAAATCGTTGACGACAACGGAAGAAACCGCGACCCAAGTTTTCGCCAAACTGTTCGCCGTTTCTCGCGAGGAAATCGCGACATTGAATTAAACTCGAATAATGCCGACAGTTTCCGCCAGCGAGTTTGCGTTCATCGCTGCGTTTGGGGAGCAAAACAACGCGGTTATTTCGTAATTTTATCGATTTATGAGAGACAGCGCGGTCGAACAAGAAATCCGGTGAATAAGAACAGGAACGGCGAAGTTCGCTGAGAGAATATATACACGCACGCGGTCGTTCGGGAGTATTTACTTGCTCGATTTACTTGCGCGGAGCTAGATAGGAAAAGAGAAACGGAGAGTTAATTCAGTTGACGTGCGAAATGAAGAGCCGCTTTTTATCCGAAAACAATTTAAATTCGACAACAAGCGATATTATTATTATTGTGACGTGTGCATATCGGTTTTAATTAAAATTGCTAAACGAACCGCGCTAAACGAAACTGCAAATTAGTGGAAATTGTTTAAACCTAAATTGGATCTTTTACAGTATATTAAAGTTATTAAAATTTGAATTATATTATGCGCTTAACGTTAAAGCTTCATTGCGCGCGAGCGGGAAAGCGAGTTCTAACAAACACGCACGCGCGATTGTACGTAATGATTTTGTCTTTTTTTTTTTTATTTTTGCTTTATTTTTGAAAAATAATCCAACGATCCCGACGGAATGTGTAATTTCGCCAACGTCTTTCGTTGTCTCTGCGAAACGCTCGCGTCGCGTACGCGCGTGACGTTTGCGCGAGGAGAAAACACACGAAGTGTGTAACACGCGGAGACACATCTGGCTTTTCGCTCCTCTTCGAAATTTGAAACATAAAATGATAATGCGAGCGAGGATAATTTTTCACGTTATCGCGAGAGAATATGCGCGAAGAGCGAGACGCAAATATGTAAATTCGTTCGCGGACGTAATAACCGTTTTCGAGCGGGGTGAACACCGGACTGAATCGGATTCGCGAGAGCGTTTACACGAAATGGTAATTTCAACCAAGTCGAGACGAAGAGGCTCTCCTCTCTGATCTCGTAAATTGAAAAATATGTTTCGTTCGCGGCAGAACGCGACCGGCTCTTGTGAATTTTACCGCGCAACGAACGGCGAACGTATATGTAGTAAACACACACGTGTGTATGCGCACCTACATATTTCACTTGTACGAAAAAAGTCGATGTAGTCTAATTTTTAATTAATACACACGGGGAAATTGATACGGGACGTCAATTTTTTTTTCGAAAGTGGAACAATCCGAAAGGATTATATTTTATTATGTCAATATATTATCTACGCGATAATATCTAAGATTGTGTAACAACAGCTTCTTCAATTGCATGTGGAATTTGAGTGTACGTACGTATAATTTCGAACGTATAATTTTGAACATTTAATTAATCTTAGCAAATGAATCACATATAAAGTTTCCCCAATTTGATGGTATAAAAAAATAAAAATGCGTAATAAAGAAGTTTTGCGGTCGAAAAATTGAGTTAAAAAATTCAAAACATAATAACATTTTTTTGCACTCTCTGCAGCATTGTATTTGTGTGTGTGACTGTTTGCTTTCAGTTAAATGCGTAGGAGTGGCGAATCTTGTTCAACATAGTTTGCGCGGTAGTGTTTGTGCGAAGGGCCACCCCCCGAGAGGCCGCGGCGGTGGGCTTTCGAGATGAGCTATGAATCTGGGCTGCCTGGTAGCCTCTGTCTTCGTCCTTCAGCTGCTCCAGCCGCTCGACGCATTACCCTCCGTTGTCAGGATTGGTAAGTATCTATATTTCCTCGTTTTGCAAATTGTTTGAAATGATTTTGCATGTGTGGGGAGAGAACGGTTTGTTTTAGATTGACTAATTCTACTTGTTTGACTCATATTTGTTGTGTTCGAACATTTGTATTGTGTAACAAAATTTGTTACAAGAAACCGTTCTCTCTGTGTACAATTCACTGCCGCGCTTGTAATCGAAAAATATATTTAATAACTTTTCAATTTACTTACACAATTTGATCAACTTTACGTCCGCGCGACGAGCAACTGTTTTTTCAAAAATATATTTCGTTTAAAAGACGAAAAAAATCACGATTAACAACAAACAAAATCCTGCTCGTGTGTGTTTTGTTCACCCGTCGAATATGCTCCGCATCGATTTATAAACGGTATATCAAGATCGAAATACTTTTCGGTTCGATTGAACCGGTGGTTTTATATCAAACGAGAAAAAGTTTTGTCAAACATGGCGGGTCTCGGACTCGCGCGCGAGTTGATATCTCACCCCGTCACTTTCGAAGACTCGCTTCTTTTTCTCCCGTGTTACAAGACTCTCTCCCCCGAAAACTTCACCCCTAAGAGCCGCTTCTCAAATCAAACTTTTGTAGAAGTTGCCTCTAAGTTACGTCCGTCGACAGTGTCTTCGATAATAATTATTGCACTCCAGACACGTATGTGGATCTCGAAGTACTCCCTCGGGTGCGAGCAATTTTGTCTATCCTTCATGTACTCGCGCGTTTTTTTTCTTGCGCCTCTGTCAGTTCGACAATCTTCTTATTGTCTGTACAACGTGTGTTGGCGAATTTACAGTAATTTATATTTTGTGATTGAAAACAAATCTAAAGAAATTTGATAAAAAAAAAAGAAGCTGGATATTCTATCAAAAAAGATTTTGAAGCAACAGTTTTGTTTTTTTAACAGCAAATTTGTGAAAAAAAAAAAAAAACAGTACTTGCTACTACTCAATTAGAATATCGTGTTGTTATCGCGTTTATGGGTAATTTACGAAATTCAATCACGTGATGTCACGTAATACAATAGCGGCTTCCGGAAATCGCAAGTACTACTTGCGCTTCTTGTGAAACTACAGCGTCATAATAGAGTCAAGCTACTTAACACATCAGATTACAGGTTTATAATGCTCGAACTTACTCGTTATCGTGTTACTAATGAAGCTCCGATAAGCTATCCAATAAGATCTTTCGAGCTACTGGTATTTGGTTTACATCTTTGTTAAATTATTGTTTTTTTTTCTTGTGCATTTGTTTTTCTTCATTAATGTATTTATTATAAATACAATACAATATGCATGTATAAATACATGTATTTATACAATAATACATGTATTTATTAAATGAATTATTATGCACGATAACGAGGGAATTTTTAAATCAATATTTTAATCAGAAAGTTATTCAAAATAATCTCAAACATACTGACTTAATGATTGTCTCATTTAACAGTTAAGTTGATTATTCAAATATTTGTAGTTTGTGTATGTACGAATATATATTGTACAGTGGGAAAATTTTGACATCTGCACTTTAACAAGTAGGAAATGTGTAAATCACATTGTAATATTTTGTTATATTTTTACGATGAAAATGTTGATAATTCCGTTTTATTAATCCGCCTATGTAAATTTCGCGAGAAAGAGACGAGATTATTTAAATTATCGTGATAACATGATGAGATGTGAAATCTCAAAATGACGGAAAAGTTGGAATTGATATATTTCGACTTTTTTGTTCTTGACTTAATATTGACGATGTTTCACAAGATTTTTTTATATCTATTAACGTGAAAAATCTTGAGTTACATAATTAATTTAGCGAATAAATGAACAATTTGCATTGTCAGATATTTCTCGTCCTAGTCAAGTTAGACTGTGTTTTAGTTAATGTTTTTATATTTTTTTGTCTTTTTCTATTTATTTCGTTTTGTGATTATAATCTCTTTTGGCCTGCCAAACATTTATATTGATTTATTTATAATACATATTCAACTAAAAGAGAACTTAAATTGAAATTAAAATATTTTAGAAAATTCAAAATTCAGTATATATCGCATAAAATATTCCGTGATATGGTTCGAAATTGCCAAATTTGCAAAATATTATTTGGACGTAAATTATTATACTGAATATATTTCATTGCGCGCGTCTTGTGATGCGCGGAATGTTACTTCCGCGCTCGCGGATTTAATATATTTGTTTTTACACAAATTGCAGATTAATAAAATCGATTTTATTCTCAACATAATATATCTTGCTCTGATGAGAGAAAATTTACAAAGTAATTGCTTTTGTCGGGAAAGGAAACGATTAAAAAATTTTACACCACTGTAGTCGATACATCACTTGCGCGAGAACAATGCGAACGATTTTATCGCTTGAAATAACTGCCAGATTTCTGGCGTGATCCCCACGGATACCGAGCAATAATAGATTTCGTGTATTTAGTACGGTTGCTGTTAATTAATGTGCTTCGTGCAAGCGCTTGCAGCTGGGCGGCTGTACCTCCTGTTAAATATGGATGACCGGTGCAAATTATTGGTGCTTTGCCATACCAACAGTGCAAAGAAGAGAGAGAGAGAGAGAGAGAGAGAGAGAGATTTAAAAAACAACATTTTAAAAGAAAAAAAATTTACAATTACACCAGCAAACTAAATCGGAATCTAATCGTAATTTTGACAGTACATTACACAGTTTTAATTTGATTTCTTTTTAAGAGTAAATATACATTTTTGGGGAATAAATTCTTCAAATTTCTTTCGAAAATCTCGGTGTGAAAATCGATTGGAAAAACGTTTCTGTACAAATACAGTTTGAATACGCGAGAGAAGAAAAGCGAAATTCCGAGCTTCGCTCTATCTCTCTCTCTCTCTCTTCTCGTTTCCACAATAAATCGGTTAAATTCTCTCGGAGTAAGCCGACAGGCCCGAGGAATTTACGCAGACAACATGTACATAACCGCGCGGCGGCGGCGGCGGCGGAGCGTTTCGCTCTGAAACGCGATATTTGTCTCGTGTCGTAACCTCTTGTTCCGCCTTTTCATTGAAATTGGATTTCTCGTCTTGAATGCCCCCGAGATGTTCGCGCGCTCGCTCCGGGTTGTAACACGTAAGGACGTTTAGACAGCGGAAACGCGGAAAGTGGGGTACAAAGATAAAGAGAAACACACTGGATATTACTTGGGGAAGATGATGGCGAGAGAGAAGAGGAGGAGATAATTTACAGCAGCTCCTTTGAATTCTAATTCGCGAACGCTTCTCGCAACACGAGATCTCTGACTCGCGGCATTGCGCGCGTCGTCGTCGTCACAATTGAATCCGCGTTAGCTTCTTCTGCGACAATATTATCTCAACGCGCGAGATTCCCGATTGCAAAAATAAATTATTAGCTCACGGAGACATGGGCGAAGACGCACGTTAAAACGTAACAACACACACGTCGTCGTAATTATGTTCACATTTTACCTCGAACAGCGCGATGTTTGTTTAAAACAAAAACAAAAAAAAAAAAAATCTCGCACATGTACTTCGAGATTGGTTGGTTATTTAATTTCAAGAGATCTCTCAGTTTTTGTCAGATCTGCACAGTTCGAGGAAAGTAGTTTTAAAATTCTGAAAATAGCGACGTTCTTCTTCTCGCGCGATGTTCTCGAGAAAAACGTTGAATCTCAAACCAGAGACAATTCGCACACGTGCGAAGAGTTTGTTTCTCCCGAGACGTGTTTCGCCACACAAATGATAGAGAACGTAAAAATAAATGCGAGATAATATCGCGCATTTTTCCTCGAGTTCGAGTAATAAATGACGCGGACGGGTGATTAATTGTCATCAAACTGGGGTAAGTTTCGCTTAGATCACGCTGCCTAATCAACGTTCGTTAATTTGACGGATAAATAAGGATAGGGAATCTTGTCTCGAAAGACTTTATCACGATAAATCGTTTCCGGCAGACCGTTCTTTAGTTCTCTTACTCGAGCGCGTCTAGTTGACAAGAACACCCCGCCGACGTCTAAATAATGCTCGAATAAATTGGTTTCGCTGATTGATTAACGTGTCGCGCGCAAAACTAAACACGCCTCTCTTCCCACTCTCGCCCCNCCCCCCCCCCCCCCCCAAATTTGTATCCGTGATATCCTGAACAACCGCAAATTGATTATGACTGCGAAATAAATTGTTTACACATTTGAACATTTATTTACATATTTGTTACACACATATTTGTTTGTGTGTGTTTGTTTAAACGCGTGCGATGTTTATAAATCCGTGGCTCGAATACAGCTTTCCGTTAATTTGCTCGCTGCGAGTACAACTCTCTACACTCCTCGTTCGTTAATTAATATTACCCGCGCGTGAAACAAAGGGAGAAAACGTCACAAAAGAGAAAAAGACCACGACCGAGTTTCGGTTCATTCGCTCGAGCCGTTTTCATTTTTTTCTTTCCTTTTTTTTTACGCACAAAATGGACGTAATCGACGTCTATTTTACAACGTTTATTTATTTTTTTTTTTTTTTTTGGGTACCATAAACGACGTGAAAAAAATCCTCACAATTCGAGTGATAGCGTGCAACAAAAATCTCGTCGGGAAATTCGTCGTTATTTCGGAAACAGTCGGCAACGTTCGATCACGAGCAGCAAAAATGTCGCAAATTCGGAGAGAAGGATCAGCAGCGCCCGCTTTTTCAACGTGTGTCGGATTTATTGTGGAACGGCGGAAAAGTGTTTCTCTTTCCCAAAGTTGGAAGTTACTTGACGCAGAAATTATTTATTCACCGAGAGACACACGCGCGCGCGCGCGAAGTTGTGAATCGACACGTAAAGTGTTGCGCGTCTCGCGTCGTCAAGAGGAAGAGGGGGATCGATCGGAAAGCGCGAAGTACGAAGAAAAAGAAAGCGGGGGCCCGTGCACGGGAAATGCAGGAAATTCACTGGTTAATCGTCCGTATTCATCCTTTCAGTAAATCTTCCCTGGCGGGGTTCTAAGCTCGC